TCACGCAAGAGGTCAAGCCACCTGTTACTGTAGTACTTCCTTTCAAATACTGTTCTTTACTTCTGCAAAGTGTGCTGGTTATATTGCTGTACATGTCCCTACATATCAGTAATATTTAGTAGACAACATTTATTCCGGAAAATGGAAAAGAAGAACAAAATGTATGTCAGATATATAAGCCTATTAACCAAAATGAGGTGTGCTGCCTGCAGAAGATTATAATTCTGCAGTTTGTGTGACCAAATTATGATGCTTCAGCCTGTTTTCAGTCCTCTGAAGTTCACATATTCCCATGCTGAGTAAGAAAGAGAAAACATACAAGGTTTCCATTTATGTTATGGTATAAAATTGGGCATCCACAAATTCACCGTGTTAAAGAAAACTGAAGTCAGGGTTAGCAAACTAATTTTAAAAGTCATGGTTGATCTGTCATATGACAAATATGTCCCAATAAATCAAAGGAATGCAACACTTGCATTGAATAAAACATAATACTATCAAATCAGTGCTGAAACACTGGTATTTATCCAGACAAGTAAGGTTAAGAAGCATATCCCACACATTCAAATCTTTAAATAAAATTAAATGCCAACCTAAAGCTTGTTTTCAACTTTCTATGATGCTTGAGAAATGCTGTCACTCACTCATTACACTCCCTCACACGGATGTAATTTCCACCCCCACCTATCGTCATCACATCTGGTTTGGTATGCAGTTGCACACAAAAAATATCAAAGAAAAAAAAAGAAAGAACAAAATATTACCTAGGCACCAAATCACAACGCATTTTAAGAAATACTTTGGTATGCATACGAGTATAATTATGCACACTATTAAGTAAACCTTCAAATAGAAACCACCATGGAATAGTTTGAGGAAAAAATAAACTTAGCCCAAAGCCTTGATTGAGCTGCAGCTTATTATCAGTACACTGGGGTTTAAATCACTGCTCCAAATAGAAAAAACACAAGACATAGACATAACAGAAAAGTTAGCATCCCACAGAATCAAAGATAACAACGCTGAAAGAGACCTCAAATCATTAATCTACCCATCTGCCCCATGGCAGATCTGCAGCTTTCTCACTTCAACCAACATTTGCAAAACAAGCTTTCAATATCTCAAGTGAGCGAGATTTCACTGTTTATCCACCTCATCCATTCTGGGGCTTCAGCACTGGAAAGCTTTTCCTGCCGTCTAACCTGAATCCAGCCTAGCACAGCATCTCACCTTCCCCACTACCACAAAGTTTTTCAGCCAGGCCTGAACTTGTCATGTGTTCACCTTGCAAACAGCAATGCAGTCCCCTCAGAGATGCACGCAAAGAACTGACATCATGGAGATGAGGTCCTTGCTCCGCTTAACCTACTGGAAACAAAATCAGTGGACGCATGGAAATGTGCTCACTGACACTCGCAACTCTACATACAGGATGTACTGGAAAATAAAGGTTGACCCTTAGGTTGACACACAGCATACATTCAAAAGAATACATGGTTCAGAGGTGGAAGGCAGACTTTCTTGCCCTAGCACCAAAAGGCTGCTCCTTTTTATAGAACATTCCAAAATGAGACTCGCCAAGTTACAACTCTCATCAAAGTTAAGAAAACACAACAACTCTCCACACGCCCTGCACCGCCTCACCAACAACAGCAGAGCCAAGTGGCCAAGGGGGCGATGCCAGCCAGGACAAAAGGACAAAACAGGACAATACCCAACATCTCCCCACAAAAGCCAACCAGCCGAGGCGCTCACACCAGCTGCCCCACCGCGAGCCCCTCTCCCCCCTTGCCCTGAGCACCACCCCCAGCCATCCTCATTAGGCCAAGCGCAGCCGCCACGTTTCGAGGCCATCGGCCTGGAACCCGCAAGCCGCTCGCGGGCAGCAGGACGTGGGAACGGCCACCGGGCTGCATCCCACCGCGGCGCCCCGTACTCACCTTCCGAGACCTCGAACTCGGCCGCTCCATTGAGCTGGTAGAGGCACCAGTCAACCGCGCTCTCGCCTGGGGGGGCGCCAACTGGAGGAGGAGGAAAGGCAGCGTCAGTCGGGGGCAGCCGGGAGAGGAGGCAGGGAGCGGCGGAGGAGAGAGGATGAACCGCGGCACTGGGGAGGGGTGCGAGGAGAAACGAAGGGGACGGGGAAGGGAGCGGGCGGATGCGAGGGGACTACAGAGAGCCGGGAGAAAAGAGAGCGTTTCCAAATACCCTGCTTTTGGGACATGTGTGCAGCCCTGCGAAAGGTGCCCAGTGCTCTGAACTGTGATTTGCTCCCAGCGCCGCCAGCTCGGGCCGCCTCCTCCTTCTCCCAGCGGAGCGGGCGGCGCAGCAGCCGCGCTGCCTCGGGGCGCTGAGGGAGCCGGGGGAGGGCGGACGGGAAGGAGGGGCGGCTCCACCCGGAGCTCTCGGCGGAGGCGGCGCCGCCTCGGCTGGACGCGCCCGGCCGCGCCGCGGTCGCAACAGGTGCGAGCGGGAGCGGCACGGCCGGCTCGGCACGGCACCGCGATGCTGCTGCCTGCCTGCCCTGCCTCCCTGCGGGGCCCTGAGAGAGCACGGCAGCCTTTCGTGCTCTTGCTCCAGCTGAGAGGCTGGAGAGAGTTTCTTGTCCTCGAGCCTGCGGATCTGCGAGCTGTCCTCCCAGCTCTGTGATAGCAACTGCGAAAGCAAACCTCATGCAAAGTGAGCTTACGTGCTGTGTGTAATGACCTTTGTCTTCACTGGGAATTTTTAGATTTTAGAATACGGAAAAAGACAGCTAGAGCAAACTTAGTTAGAAATGCATTTATTCTTACAGATGTGCACCCCAAAAACACCACAGGAAGAAATGTGAAGGTATGTTAGTTGCTGTGTGCGCCGTGTGCTTCCTTGGCTCAGCACAAAGATGTGGCTTTGCAGCTCACAGCCAGCAGGTCCTGCCCACATCAAGTCTTTCTGAGGTGACAGAGGCCCACACGTGCCATAGCTCACGTGGAGGAAGCAAACACCCTTTGCATGGGAAATGAAGGAAGTGTAAGAATTACACAGGAGAGTACAGGAGGACTGTAATCAAGCCATGCTAGGAGATCAGGAGCACAAGAATAACACATCAATGTAGGCAGCTGTCATGGCACGCTGGCAGCGGATCTGCCATCCAGCTTCTTGCTATTTTTGAAGCAGTGTGTAAGCAGTGGGGAAACATTATCTTTGGCATAAATTCCATTTGATGCGCTGACATTCGTTCCTTTTCATAGCAAGTGATGCCTTCAGATTCGTATGCACTTTCATAAACTGCAGGTGATTTTACTCCATTTTACTAATGAAAGTATTCTGCTGAAATGTTTCTGTTTTTATCCACTCTGCACAAAACAGTGTAACACTGTGACCCCTGTGAAACAGCAAGGAGGACAATTACATGTTCTGATGAAAATAGGTTCAAAATGGGAATAACATTCTGCAGACATTCTCAGCTACTTTAGGAAAAAAGTAAATGCCAACACTTAAGCTTTCCTGGAAACTTCACCTGAATTACAAAGACCATGATGCCTTCTGAGGTAAAAAAAAACATCACTTCATTTAAACTGTGTGTATATATATATCTCTAAGCCATATGTTTGCTGGATGTGCAATAGCTTTCTTGGAACTGAAAAGGTTTAAGCTGGTGATCTGGGGGAAAACACGGTTTCATAAGGCTCTATTAGTAAAGCTTTGTTCAGCTGTTTACAGAGATAATAACTCCCTCTACAAAGTACCCACAGACCTTGATTGCTCTTCACAAAGCATTATTTTAAATAAAATTAACCTTAGAATTCCAGTTTTGCTTCTTGATTTTAGGGAAAATTATATTCTCCCATACTGATAAGTAAACAGGGGCCCTAATGTAGGAGAATCTATTCATATTAAGCTTATTTTTTATGAAATACAGGAATCATGTCTTCAAATCAGCATTAGTGAGTTATGTATTAATCTGGACTTCAAAGATTATTCTGGACTTATTCTGGACTTCAAAGATTTACAAACTTTGTATGTTAAAAAAACAAATTATCTAGCTTGGCATGCAATGCAGCAACTTTTTTTTTTTTTTTTTTTTCTTGTCTAAATGCAGATCTTATTTGAAGTTTGGTCTGTTTCTACGGGTACCTTGAATATTTAAATGGATTAATTTGCAAGTTCTGTTTGAATTTATCTTCTTATTGGCATAAATCTGTAGAGGGACACAAACTATTTGTGATTGTTTCCTTTGGAGATAATAGCTTCAACTAAAACTAGTTAAACTAGTAGTGCTAAATCAAGAGACAAGCTTGATGGTGGGAGCAAATATCAGTTTCAGCTGTTCTCCTTTTGCACTGCTGGAAATAAAGAGTTAAGTATGGTACTTTTAATCATTGCAGGACTGTGAGGTTGTTAGAAGCATATAATTTACTGAAACTAGAACATGAATAAAATAGCCAAATTATACTGCTGTCAGTGTAAAAAGTTACTAGAAGAACTATTTTGGCTGTTGATGCGGATATATTGGGCAAAACCAGGTGAAACTGCAGACAAAATTCCTGCAGAGGCTGGTTGAGCTACAATGCCTATATAACGTTTTTGTAATGATGGACTTTCATTTTTCCCTTTTCACAAGGGCTTTCTGCAGTCACAGGGGCCAGCTCCTGCTAACAGTGATAAAACAAGGGAGAAAACCAATTTAAATGGGATCAGAAGGTCAACCGCATAAAATAAAATCTTAATCTTACTACTTCCAAGCCCTCAAAGACAATAATCCATATTGCAGCATCGTGCCCTGAAATAAAGAACTCCTGCCTCAATCGAAATGGAAAAGAAAAAAAAAAGAAAAGAAAGAAAGGGGGGAAGGAAGGGAGGGAGGAAGGAAAAAAAGGAAGGAAGGAAAAGCAAGGAAGGATTTATATTCGTCAAATGCCCAACTCAACATCTTTCTGAGGAATCTAATTTAACAAAACAGTTCCAGAGGCACCTAGCAGGGGCTGGAATTCCCCTGGGGCTCGCACCCTGCAGAGCACATCGGGGCCACCAGCACCCCACGGGAACAGCTCCCGTCCCACGTCCTCTCACTGCGAGCAGAACGGCTCCCCGCGACTCTGCGAGCAGCCCTGCAACCGCTCGCCCAAGATGGAGCCGCCCAAGCCGGGAGGCGGGACCCGACCGCAGCGGGGCGGGACGCGGAAGCTCGGCCGGCCCCAGGTTGCTGCCGGCCGGGCCGGGCTGGGCCGCGGAGCCACCATGGATCTTATGCTGCTGTTCATCTGCCTCGCCCTGCCGGCCACCAGCAGCGGGGAGCTGCGGGCCTTCGTGGTCGCCCACAGCCACATGGACGTCGGCTGGGTGTACACCGTGCAGGTGGGGCGCCGCGCCGCTGCCGGGGTACGGGGATGGCCGGGCCGGGCGTCCCCGCTGCCTGTCTCTGCTCGGCCTGCAGCGGAACGCGAGCGGCCCCGAGGGCTTCCCTCGTCCTGGAGGCCGGCTCGGCACCCGCTCGCTGTCTGGGGCTCCCGGTGCTGGCCTGGGAAGGCGAGGCCGGCTCAAGGGCTGCCGGACTCTGGGCTTCGCTTGGACCGGTGTTCGGGTGCTCACGAAGTGCTGTGTTTTGTGTTCTGTGGGGTTTTCTTAAAGGAAAAAAGTCTTCAATCTAACAAACGGCGTGCTTTAGTTATTTTGTGTGCTTTCTTCTTTGAGTCTTTGAGTTTATCCTGTGCCTAAGCCAAAGCCCAAGAAATCCTGTAGGTGTCCCTGTTCTTTGCAGGGCAGTTGGACAAGATGACCTTTAAAGGGTCCCTGCCAAATCAAAGATTCTGTGGTTCTGTGATGAAACTTCAATCCTCAAAGACTCCTCTTCCCATTGTCCAATGTGGAGGTGGTGCCTATGGCAGCAGAAGTATAGCAGCAAAATATTTTTAGCTAAACGAGTGAGATAGGTGCATAGGGGAAAAAAGAAATCAAGTGGGACAGAAGTACCTTTTATATCTCTTGAGCTAAATCCTGCATCCTTTTTCACTGCTGTTTTTTTAGGTTATACAGAACTGTGGATATTTGACTTGCTAGAGTGCTTTGGCATCACATCTTTGAGAGTAACTAATGAAAAGATTTTGGCTCACCAAGACATCTATTGTGCATATCTCTTAAGAAGCTTTTTTTGAAGATTCAGTTGCTAGAAACTTCAGTTATTAAATTATGAATGTCAGTGATTACTTTGGCCAAAAAGAGTGAAGGTTCCCTCTCCATCCCCTCACATGCTTCTGTAGTAAGATGAACACTGAAGGTAATTCCCTGGGGATGTGGTCCCAACCAGCTGTACAGGTTTGCTTAGTTATTAAGTTTCACTCGTACTACTTCTTTAGTGTTTCCTTTCTGTGTTTATAATGTGGAAAACATTTAAGGTATCAGAACGTCAATCTTTGTTGTGTGCTGAAAATTGTGGTGGTGATGGATAATTCCAGTATTAGATGTTTAATAAAACTTTGTTTTTCCCCTTCAATGGCATCTTCAATGGCAATCTGTTGCAATCTGCTAGTACCAGTGGTATTCTAACTTAAGTGAAATGTGGCACTTCACTTGTATATCTTACTGAAGATGTGAAGAACACCTCACCATTGTCTATAATGCCGTATGAAAAGCAAAGTTCTTAAATCACTTTACTAGTTTAAAATCTACATATAAATAACTGCAGTTTTTTACTCTCACTGCTTATTGTTTCATTTCCTTAGCTGATAGAGGATATGTATTAGAAAGGAAATTATTATTATTGCTTGCTGGTGGCCTGGCTTGTGAGAACAATTATTTTTCATTCACTCCCAGACCACTGGGCTTTATAAGCTCTGTAGGAGTTCTTGATTAGCTTGATTTTGAGTCATATCTTACTCTCCAAAATACATCAAGAAAGTATTTTTAGGAAGTTTTCACTCTGAATGTTTTAGTACTGTGTTGCATTTGAAGAGTCCTTGATCAGCTCTTAAAATACAATGTATTTTGCTTAACTATTAAGAATTTAAATTAAGCTTAATGTCATAATCCTTGTAAATAAAGGTTTTAGAATATATAGTTTGCAGCTGATTGCCAGTGACAAATGAAAATTTAGCAATCGTTTGAGTAATAGTAAAACTTGAAGGCTATTCCTTTTATGAAAATTGGATAATAATGAGTTTCTAATCATGATCTTGATTTTTTTTTTTTTTATGAAGTCATTAAGAAGTGATGAGTAAGTAAGTCATTGAACAAGCAGTTATTTACATATGCTCTGAATTATTCTAGGCCCTTCCTCCTACATTCAGATGTTTTCACTTTTCTGATGACAACCTTTAACCAAGATAGCTAGATTCCAGTTGTGGAAAGGAAGGAGATAGGAAAAGTTTATTTCTTATTTGAATCACATCATCCTGCTCTTATTTCAGAGCAGACTTTTCTTTTTTAGAGGAAAATTGCACAAATTAAAACTATGGATTAAAACTTGGTGTCATGCCCATTAGTCTCAATTGCATGAGGGATGTCTGTTAATCACTTTCAGGTGGATTTGTTATGTGTATTCTTAAGCAAAAACCAGTGGCATCAAGTAGAAAAGCAATATGATTTATGTTAAAACAACTCTGCTGTTACAGCTAGGTGCTGAAAGTGGTGCAAGAGACATCACAGGTATTTCCAGGAGCTCTTCTGTTGCTTTTAGGTGTTGAATATCACTTTGAAGTTAAGGGTAGAAGACCGAATCTGGACAAACAGGATTTTTTTTTTCTGACAAGGGAAAACATACTCAAGAAACCTTAATATGTGTAATTTTGTATTAACATGATGTTGCTATTTGATAGCATTGTAGGCATGTGATAGTTTATTTGGTGAGTACAGTTGCTGTGCTTACATGCCAGTAAAAGCCATAGGCCTCCTTCTAGAATCAGAGTTGTTTTAGGAACAGGAGGGGTAGATGCGCAGATTCTCATGTCAGATTATTCTACATCAACAGTCAAATTTGTTCTAAGAGTCCTTTACCAGCTTTTTTTTTTATTCTATTCTAAATAGAATAAAATGGAGCAGAACTCCATTTTGTTTGACACCTGCCTAATGCTTCTCACAAGAAGGAACTTTCTTTTCACTTAAATATCGCTTAAAAAATTACTGTTTCAGTCTTAAGAGTTCATGACTGAAACCTCTTGGGCCATAGCAGTAAAATTTTTTATTTGTGTGGAACTGCTATACCAGAAACATACTCGCACAGCAGAGCATGCTTGCTCTGCAAAAGCAATTCTACTGATGTTCTAAGTAATCAAAAGAGCAGAAAAGGTAAAGCCCAATGAGTATTTGAAACAGCCCTTTTAATATCAACAAAGCAATATTCTTTTTTTCTTTTTTTTTTTTCAGGAGAGTATGCATGCTTATGCAGCAAATGTCTACACATCTGTTGTAGAAGAACTAATGAAAGGTAAGCAGCGCAAATTTATTGCTGTGGAACAGGAATTCTTTCGGCTTTGGTGGGATGCAGTAGCCACGGATGCACACAAGCAGCAGGTAAGTTGTACTGAAGCCAAATGTGCTTCTAACGAAGCATCCGTGCTTTTTTTTCAAAGGGTGAGAAGAGGCAAAGTACTTCAGCATTTGATTTTTATCCAGATCTTGTGTAAGTTAAAGAACTTTACCTCTAAAGGCAGTTGCAAGAGGTTAAAAGTTAAGCTGTAGATCAGAGCAGTAGGTGGTGGTAACCTTTGCACTGAAGACTCTTCACACTTTACAATTCTTGTTTCATCAATGAGTTTCTTATTTGGTGGCACAGTGGTATAAGATGGGTGATTCTGAAAGAGGCTGTGCCCAATACTTCTCAAAAATCTGAGACTTACAGCTGCCTAATGCTGCTCACAAGAAGGAACTTCTTTCTTTCTTTCTTTTCAGTTAAATGTTGCTCAAAAAATTGCTATTGCTAAGCAGTGTTCATGAAGCTAAGGGAAAAACATACAATTCAGCAACAAGAGTTGTTCCTTGGGTTTCTTTATTGAAGAGTCATGATTCCATTTGAATCTTGAGAGTTTTAACTCGAGAATTTTTTTTTTCCTAGTAAATACTTTTTGAAGTTTGGTTTGTTACGAATCAATCATGGTGAAATCGAAGACTGGGGTGGCAGCCTAGTGGATGGTTATGTGTCTGATTGCAGTGTATAATGTTTAACCCTCTCTAGATCAGTGGGTACAAGTGCATCTCCCTATAGGTCCTCATTTAGAACTTCAGGCAACAGCAGCATATTACATGCAGTACACTAAATTTCAGTCTTTACTACTTGTGTAAAGACATCTGGTTTGATTTTTTGGCTGATCCTGTGCAGAGCCAGTGAGTGGATTTGATTATCATTGTGGGTCTCTTCCAACTTGCGATGTTCCATGATTCTATGAAGCTCTGTGGGTGTAAAGTGCTGTGTAAGAAACGTTCCTTCTATCTATGTTTTTTTTGTTTGTTTGTGTAAACACAGTTCTTCACTAAATTCTGAAAATTCTGTAGTGTTTCTTATTTAAATAATAGCTTGCAACCTGTGTGCAGCTTTGCTGTGCATAGGCTGCTCTTTGCTCATGCTTTGCAAGAAAGTTTTCTTGTTTTTAACTCAAAAATAATGTTGTAAAAATCTAGGGTGGGGCCATTAAAGAAAATAGCATAGAGTGCTTTGTGCATTGCAGTAAAGTTTTCTTTCTAATGGAGATTGTTCTTATTTAAAGTACATTGTGTTGCAGTGACACGAACTGTAAGTAAAAGACCTATAATTCCCTGTAGTTCTTAATATCTGTTCTTATTACCTGGTGTCTGAAGAGTAAATATTTATCACATTTGACCTCAGCAGCACCGAATTACTATATATGATTCAGCCCTTACTTTCCTTGTCCTGATACTTGAGACTTTTCTGCATTTTAATCCATTCTCTAGTTACTTTATAGTTTATGCTTTTCTGAAAATTAAAGTGATTAAGAACAAGTTTCTCTTGAACCTGTGTGTCCAAATACTGAATCTATAGAAGCTATGATGGTCGTTGATAACTGACATGTTTTTAAAACACTGGGAAGTTGCAAATATTGGGCTTTGGAATTAGGTCACTCTGGTTATTGCTCTGCTTTTTCCACTTGAACTCCAGTGTTAACTATTTTCTGTGGTACAGCCCTTGGGCTTTAATCTTGCTAGTTTCTCCTAAGTTTGTATTTTACTTGAAACGCAGGATTAAATTCTTTTTTCTTTGGGCATTTCTTTGGTGGTAGTATTCAAATCAGTAAAAATGATGTCCTGAATTCTGAAGCTGGTTTTACAGTTCGGGCAAGAGAATATGTAAGACTGAAAGGCTTTGCAGCAGCCTGTAGCTGGATGTGAACCTCTTAATTCTCAGTACATGTTGTCATAGAATCATAGAATGGTTTAGGTTGGAAGTGACCTTAAGGATCATCAAGCTCTAATTCCCTACCATGGGCAGGGCTGCTGGTCACTAGATCAGGCTGCACAGGGCCCCATCCAACTTGGCCTTGAATGCCTGAAGGGATGGGGCATCCATAACTTCTGTTGGCAGCCTGTTCTCTCCGTTCTCTCAGTATTTTATTTTGTGAAACATTCCTGTCTCCTTACCCTGGCTTGATGTTTCAAGGCAATAATTAGTGGGGAAAAAAGATATTTAGCTGCTTATCTGGTATGTACAGGTGGGTTCTTGTAAGAAAGTACTGGCTGTTGCAAGATCTGCAGATATGTTCTACTGTTGCAGCAGCCTGCTGCTTGTTTAACTGTTACGTTTCTTTCCTAAGTTCCCCTGTCCTTTTTCTCAGTTCAAGTCAGTGAAAGGCATAGTGTATGTAGATACCCATTTTTATTTTTTTTCCCCCTTCCTCAAGTTGACTATAATTCAAATTGCTTGAATTATTCTTTTAGTATTTTCAACCTCCATGTGGTTCTGTGAAACTTAAATGAAGTTTCTATAGTGCAAAGTGTAGTTCAAAGATATCTTTTTTGGACATCCATCCAAACAGGGAATAATAACCACAGATGCTTTTCATGTAGGTCAGGACCAGTTCTGTGCTGACACCAGATATCAGTTATCTGGTCTCCCCGCATGCTAATCAGTCACCACAGTCAGCTGGAACTAATTTATGAATGCTGAGCCCTGAAGCATTTTCACAACATTGTGAATGAGAGAAATGATTATAATCGGAATTGACAATCTGGCATCGTATCTGAGCAGACACAGGGGCATTCGCTGAAGGTTCCTGGGGAAATAAACATAATAGGCCTGGAACAGCCATCCTACATGACAGATATTTAACAATAAACAAATAGTGGTGGGAGAATAAAATATGTATTTATACCTCAAACTTTCAACAAGTCTGTATCTTCAAAGTTCCAGGTAGTGAAGTAGCTGTAATGAAGACAGAAGCCTCACAGAGACTTTTGAAAAGGGATACAGATTGTTATTGCCCTCCCTCCACACACACTCATACAACATTATCCAGCATGTTTGCTGACTATTGCACTTGACCATACACTTGGGCTTCTAGTGGCTCGAATTAACAAAAAAGGAAATCTCAGGAGCCTGGTCATTGCTGCTTGCATGTGGTTTCATATGCTCTCTCATCTAGCTACCCAGTGGCTTTCCTAAGCCAGGATGGCTGCAGCAAGAGGAAGTCTTCAGGAGAAGCAATACTATCTTTTTTAATCTTCCAACTCTAGTTTAGTCTTCAGACAGGATCCTAGGCTGTGTGTGGGGACAAGAGCCTGATGTTTAGATTAGTAGAGCTGTCATCATAATTTTATTCAGAGCAGCGGTATCTACATGGTGGTGCATCTTTGTGCCTCTACCTGGTTTCATTGTAAGCTGAAATCAGTGCACTGTGCAACCCATTAGTGTGCTTTCCCTCCCGACTCCCTGCTTTCCTGCTTTTCATGGCACTCAGTACAGACAGCCTTTTATCCCACTTATGACCTAGATGCCCTCTTGACAACTGTTTTGTCTAGGTAATATGCTGTGATTGAAATGAATTTGCAGCCTATTTGGAGAAGACTGAAATGACATTTATGTTCTGTGTCTTAATTTCAATATCATAGGTCCATCAGTTACTTCAGGAAGGACGATTGGAATTTGTCATTGGAGGGCAAGTGATGCATGATGAAGCTGTGACACTAATTGATGATCAGATTTTACAGTTGACGGGTATGCGTGTTTTCATTTAATTTTTATTTTTTGTTGTTATGACCTTGGGGGTTTGGTTTTGTTTTCATTTCTCAACCCCATGTTTACTTTAAAAATATATATATTGTTCTTTAAGAACTGACTTAAGTATCTCTTGTTTGTTTGTTTGTTTTATTCACTGGCAAGTCATCTGTATAAAAAAAAGACTTTGCCTTAAAAAAAAACAAAAAAACACAAAACTGCAGTAAATGGGCGGGGGGGGAGGGGTTTACAAACTCCTTTGGGGCAGAGACCTTCCTGGTTTGTGTCTATTTGAGGGCTAAAGCTCCTGTGAAGACAGTTATGATTAAACTGAGGATTTGAAATACTCTGGAAGAAAATACCTCTTAATAATTGAGGAATTTGGGGCAGAGGGTTTGTATTGTTAAGGTAAACAATACAAAATATGGACCACAGAAGGTCACTGAGGGCATCTTAACCTGGTTGAAAGACTTGCTTAATGAAGAAGCACCTATTTGTAATAATTAACAACAGTTTCTGTTAGAAATTGTCTTGTATTTCCAAGAGGTGCACTATTTCTGATTTTAATTTTCTAGCCTCTACTTCCAGCCATTTGTATGTTACACCTCTCCATCGGATGGTGTAAAGGCTCTTTCAGTGGTTAAGGTTATCTCCATCTGGTTGAAGTGGGGGAGGGGGAAGACAGTTCATGCCACTGTTACACTATATATGCCTAGAATATGTTATGAGGGAGTGTCATACGTGGGGGCAGGGGGAGGGATAAGAGGGTGTAAATTAACACTAGTTGCCTATCATGGTTGATATGCCTTGCCCGTTTTAGGGCTACACTCTGGACAGCTTCTTACATCAGAGAATAATGGGTCAGATAACAGGTTTTTCATTAGCTAAACCTGACTGCACAATAACACTGTCTTGCTTGTCAGTGTTTATCTGGAGTACAAGGAGAGCTGCTGCTTTTCCATCTCAGTGAGTCACCACATCACACTCAGGCAAAAAAGGATAGGGAGGGGATGGAATTTTTTTTTTTTTCACTTGACTCCTGTGTTTATAACTGGCTGAGAGCTTAGCACACACAAAAATATATGGTATTTACATCTTCAATTGGAGTTAGTTGTGCAAACTATTGTTTGTATTTTAATATTTCACTTAGTATGTGAATGTTGTTTAAAGGATTATTCAAATTTACTGGCTAATTTGGCAGAAAAACAAATATTAACATCATAAAATATCCCCATTATTTTTTCCTAAAAGCACTCTGCTCAGTATGCACTAAAGGAGTATGTGGAAGAAAAAGAGAAAAAGGATATATCATTGCACTATGTACTGTGTACCCCTTGAAAAGACAAAGTCAGTGTGGATGACTGGGATCTACACTGCTTGTCTTTTCCTTCTGCCCAGTTAGCTGAGCTTAGGTGAATGGTCTAGCAGTGTCTGAAATGTGCTTTACTCACTATTTGTGAATGTTTTCACTAGAATAGGTATTAATCATGGGAAAGATGATGTGAAAAGAAGGTGCCTTGCAACCTCAGTTATTTAAACATGACCTTTGGAGTAAAGTTAGTCCAAAATGGAAAGATGTTTGTATATTCAAGTAGTTACATGGTCAACTCTAGAACTATAAAATAAAGATCTGATTTGTTTTGGTTTTTTTGATAGTGATAATCCATGTGCCATGTTCTAGAGTTCTCTGTGAGACCATCTGCTTAGCTGATTGGGTTGTTTACATTTAATTGGTTTGCTTGAATTTATCTTGTCTGCTGTCTCTGATTTGTGTATTCTGTTTTCTTTATTATTGAAAATCATTTCAATACTAAAAAACATTGGTTGTAAATAACACCTTTTAACAATAGCTGTTAACCTTTTTCTTTTTTCTATTTTCATGATCCTCACTCACATTCATGTTACTTTTGTGTACTGGCTGCCTCCTTTGTTCTTTTGTCATTGATATGAGACTAACATTTTCTGACATTAAGTTGAATGATTTCAGCAAACCCAAACTGAAACTCCATCATCAACCTACTAGCCTTAACTTAATCTGTCTTTAGGTACTGTTTCTGAGGCCTGTTTAGTTCCTGTTTATTATTCATCCTTTATGGTGTTAATAAGGTATACTTGGCATAGCAAAATAAATATTGTCATTGTGAGACTTCAAGTGCTTTGGAAAACAGCAACAAAGAGCTATCATGTAAGTGCTTATCTGTCATACTACATGCATATTACATTTAGAGAATGAACTTGTAGGATTACAGCTAACATAAACAAATTTTACTTTGCAGAGGGCCATGGGTTTTTATATGAAACTTTCGGGATCAGACCTCAGTTTTCTTGGCATGTTGATCCTTTTGGAGCCTCAGCTACAACACCAACTCTTTTTGCTCTTGCTGGCTTTAATGCTCATCTTATCTCTCGAATTGATTATGACCTGAAGGCTGACATGCAGAAAAACAAGGTAAAAATACTGGAGGACTGGAACCCATGACAGCATATCCATATAATAATCTGAACCATGACGTTATGAAAGGCCTCTCTGATTTGTGCAAGAAAACATAGGTATTTCATCTCTAAAAGTAACCAAAATTCTTCTCTAATATTGTATGTGGTAGTGGTAAAATACACTGTGTCTGTACAGTACTGTCAGTAATGTCTTTATGACTTCTGGTCATGGACAAAATGTAGTCTAGCTTGAGAAGGATGCAAAATGTGGACATTTTGTCAAGGAATAAGTGGTCATGCAGTTAGGATTGTTAGAATTGTAATCTTTTAGAATGGATTTCACCTTCATACAAGAAAATCTTTGGTATCCTGTTTTTTATATACACAGCTTTAAAGAGTTTGTGTTTGGGGTGGAGGCTGTCATGGCTTGGAACACTTATTTGTGTCTGTAGAAGTGATAATATTCTGTCAGTCAGGGTTGCAGCTAAACACTGTTTGAATTCAGTTTGTTTCAAATGCTACTTTCTGTTGCACAAAGTGTTCCAGAAGCAGTAAATATTTTTCTTTTCATGACATGATGTTTTATCTTGGTCTGTCAGTGCTTTTATGCACTAAATTGTGTATGAATAAAGGGCTTTGATTGGAATGAGCTGGGCATTAGGCAAAGCTGCTGTGAATGTTGCATATAATTCAGGCATCTCTGGAGAACAGGACTCTTGTTGAATTTGATGAAACCAGTACTTACTGCCTTAATCTTGCTGTGAATTCTGATTCTTCCTTTCTGCTTTTATGAGCTTCTGATTATTTTTTCCCATGAAAACCTTTTCAGGAACCTGGCAGTCTGGAGGCTTCTAAAATGGTAGTTCTGTGCTTGTCCTCAAGGATAATGGTGGTGTTGTTGTTGTTCTTTTGTTTTCCAGAAGCTTCAGTTTGTATGGCAGGGTTCTCCTTCCTTATCGGAAAGTCAGGAGATCTTCACCCATGCTATGGATCAGTACAGCTACTGTACCCCATCGCAACTGCCTTTTTCAAACAGGTCTGAAGATTACAAAACTATGCAGAAATATGCTTTGGAGAGTTTATATTGAGAGTTAAAGGATTTCCTTTGATGGTACTCATAGAATCATATAATGGTTTGTGTTTGGAATGACCTTAAAGATAAGTTCATCTCATTCCAACCCTCGTACTGTGGGCAAGGATGCCACCCACAACAGTGTTCTTTCAACAGTATTCTCCTGCTCTCCTTCATAGACCTGTGATAGGTCAGTGAGAAGTCTAGACTGTGGATCTGAGTCAGGGTTATTAAGCACCTCCAGCTACCCACCATGATGCGTAAAATCTGCTCAGTACCTGACAATTGAATTCTCAAAAGTGACATTTTCTACTGGCAGGCATTAAAAATACTTCAAAATATTGACAGACTTTAAAAATAATCTTTTCTACCAGCAGGAGTCTTAGAACTCAAGTACAACTTTCATCTACACGCAAATTGTGTCAGTTCCTATCTGACACAATAATAAATATAGAATGAAAATGGGGAACAAATCAATTACTGTAAGCAGGATATGCCCAAAATGGGACTGGGTTTTTGTTTCTCTGCCTGAAAATTTAAGAACTCCAGGAAGCTTAGCATGGACTTAACTATTGCTAGTTGATTTTCTGAGGGAGATTTTCAGCATTATATTGGACTGAGATTGTGTGCATTATGTGTATATAGAATAGACAAATTTTCCATTTACTTTCTGGGAAAAAACACTTAGAGCTGTGAACTCAAAACTTTATTATCCAGTAATACGCACCGTGTAAGCACAGTTTACCTCAGGGAACATCCTCATTGTTTCAGACTTAGCTGGTTTGTTCTGTGATTTCTTTGTTCTATGGAAGCAAGCAGTAGGGACATGGAAAATTGCACTGAGAGAAAGAAAGAAAAACAGACAACCTTCCTCCTAATTTACCTGCTAATAAACACTAAAATCTAAACATTGACAGCAGATGTTAGCTGAATTTCTTCCTTCTGTATTCCCTCTGTCAATGTTTTATCCTAGCACCTTTTGATGAGTTTCTCTCAGTTAGTTGAATAAATCTTGTTTATAGTCTATTATTTTCTTCTTCTATCTAGATCAGGATTTTATTGGAATGGATTTGCAGTTTTCCCAGATCCACCAAAGGACGGTGTTTATCCAAACATGAGCCTCCCTGTTACAGATACCAACATCCATATGTATGCACAGGCCATGGTGGCAAACATTAAGGAGAGAGCAGCCTGGTTCCGAACAAATGATGTTTTGTGGCCATGGGTAAGTGCATTATCATCAGAGTTTGCCTGATGTAGCCACAGAGAAGTGGCCACAGAGAAGTGGCCCATACATCTACACTATGGGCAGTAGGTGCTACTCTGCTACTGCCCAAGTATGGAGTACAAACCATGTGACTGAGAAGTGTTTTTCTAATAAGTTGGGACCAAATATCTGATTAGTATGGTACTATGGTCTGTTTTCCTCACCATGTACTGCCTATTTAGATGACCTCCTTACATAACTGTTTAACACAACAAAATTCTGTGTTAAAAAAATGTTAGCTTTACAGAAAAATGTACGAAGCATTAGATAGACAACATCTTTTCAAACTCATTTAGTCATTTTCTTATGCCATCTTTATATTTTAGTTAGAGGTGTATCCTAAATGGATTATCGAAACACTTTTTTTCAGCAATCTGCTGTATTAATTATGTCCAACATGTACAAATAGCTCTGATACACTTCTGCTAGTTTTAAGTTGTTAGCAAATAATAACCTTTTCTAAATTGAATGTTCAGTCTGTTTTTGAAGTTTGGTGGATGCTGTAGATCTTGTAATTACAATTAAAAGATAACGTGTCTTCTCAAAGATGGATATTTCACCAGAATATCTGTTATTGCAAAGTGAACAAACATTTTCTAGTGGATGCAGTTTTGAGTTACTGCTTCTTTTCTTCTCTGTTTCTCTCACTGTTTTTCTCTGTGTTGCATGATGCTGTGGCTGAATGTCTCATTTTCCTGTTCAGCTACTGTGGTTGAGTAAAGGTGTTGCTATAGCAGTGTTGTTTGCTCGTTGTTTGTTTATAAAACATTTATACATGCAGGTAGCCTATAAAGAGATGCCTTCAACAGAAGTCAGAGGCTATGCAAGCATGCTCAAAAAAAAGAAGAGGCTTTATTACACACAGTATCACCCCCCCTTAACAATTAGGGCGAGCATATAGTCTGTGGTCAAGGCAGGAAGTCAATAATATATTGTGTGATACTTGTACTACAGAATTCACTTTCCAGATAGTTTTGTTTCACACCATGTCTTCCTAAAGCTTATTTACTCTTTTTAAGAATGCTCCTAGAACTTCTGTACTTTCTGCTAACTGTGAGAAATGCAATGTGAAAAAAAAAATGAAGATCTTTCTAGTCTTATATTCATACATTTTCCAATTGCCACCACATTTCACATTCTTGCACAATATAGTACATCAACACACTTCTCTCTGTCTGTAATGCCAACTGGTTATCAGCTGATCTGTGTAAGTAACCATATCCCTACCTGACGTTTCTGTAGCAGATAACTGCTTTATGGTCAGTCAAGTTCAAAAGAAATACCACTTTAATGTAGACTGTTGTTAAAAAGATCCTACTAAATTATATGACTCAAAGTTATTTTACTTCTCTGTTTTTGGAATTTCAGGGCTGTGACAAACAGTTCTTTAATGCATCTGTTCAGTACTCCAACATGGACCAATTGCTGGACTATATTAACAAGCATTCTGATGAGTTTGGAGTGACTGTCCAGTATGCAACTGTTGGTGACTACTTCCAAGCAGTTTATAGCAGAAATCTTACATGGGAAATAAGGAATTCTCAAGACTTTCTTCCATATTCAACAGGTAATTAAGTTAACAACTGCATGACATCTGGCCCAATTGTACAATTTATAATTTTAATAAAGGAAACTGAGCAAATGAGAAATACAAGAGCCAGCAGTGTGCCCTTGTGGCCAAGAAGGCCAATGCATTAAAAAGAGCATGAGTAGCAAGGGAGGTTCTCCTCCCCTTCCTCACTTCCTAGGTGAGGCCACATCTGCAGTACTATGTCCAGATCTGGGCTCCTCAATTCAAGGAAGACAGAGAATTTGTTATCAATGCTTATAAATATCTAAAGGGCAAGAATCAATAGTTTAGGGCCAGACTCTTTTCAGTGGTGTCCAGTGACAGAAGAAGGGGCAATAGCCTCAAACTGGGTCACAGGAAGTTCCATATGAACATGAAAAAAAACTTATTTACTTTGAGCATTATGGAGCCCTGGAATGGGCAGCCCAGAGAGTTTATGAAGTCTCCTTCTCCAGAGGTGTTCAAAACCCATCTGGGTATATCCTTTGCAATCTACTGTAGCAAGCCTGCTTTAGTGGGGGAAGTGGACTAGATGATCTTCAGAAGCCCCTTCCAACCACTACAATTCTGTGAAAAATAGAATCACAGAATCATAGAATAGTTTGCATTGGAAGGGACATTAAAGACCATCTAGTTTCAACTCCCCTGCCATGGCAGGGACACTTCCCTCTAGATGGGGCTGCCCACGGCCCCATCCAGCCTGGCCTTGAACGCTTCCAGAGATGAGGCATTTATTTACATTACCACATTCTATAAAATAAGACAAATTGATCCAAACTTAGTGGTATAAGAAAGATAGTGCAGTGGTTGTAATATTCATTGGGACAGCTAGCAGCAATGAATGGAAAAAAAATGAAAATAGGAAAACTCCTAGGTCTCTGTTTTGCTTGAAGTGTACATTTTTGAGTAATCTGTTTTGTAGACATAAAACTTGGTATTCATTATTTTCTCTGCCTCCTATACATGAGCACAAATACCTCTACTCTCCTACAGTATTAAATGTGTGTGTTGCATTTCTCTTCCTCTAAAATGATCCATAGTAGGTACGCAGTGCTTCGGGATCCAGGAAACTGAGAGGAAACCAGTAAACCAAAAGATACCTTGGAACAAATGGTTGTGTGGCCATATAGAGTGATGTCTCACTGTTGCTATTTAAAAAAGTTGCATTATGCATAAATTAGAGCAGGAATGGGAAGAGTGGCACTGAGTAATCTGAAGGAAGAGTCAGGTAACCAAGGGAACAAGGAAGGGCACAAGGTGATCTTAAGAGATTACTTCTATGTTAGTGCAGTAGAACAGGAGTGGATCAAAGTGAAACAACTGGTGCTGAAAACTTAATGTTCTCATGGTATGTGTTCTAGGTATATAGGTATAATCTGATTGCATGGACTGAAGATCCATTAATACTTGGAACATACCTTCAGGGGTATTACTACATGAAAGAAATTTAGTTTATGCTCTGTAAAGCCTTTTTTTTTTTTTTAATGTCAAGTGAAATATAATAGGTACCTGTGGCTTCACTTGACAACATTATACTGATCCAAGCAAAACACTGTGGTAGGTGTACCCCCTCATCCCCCCCCCCTTCCATCTCCTGTCGTTCTAGGAGAAAATCTTGTCCTTTTTATTAAATGAAACAGTTGTGGGAAAAATAATTGTGTTATAAGTAAGGCCTCAGAAAGGAAAAACATGCCCTGTAATTCTGAATTTTTGTAGTACGATGTGGCACAAATTTATTGAAGTTGTTGCTTGCTTGTTACTTGCTGTGCTTTTCAGGTAAAATTGGGAAGTTATTAAGGAAGATGTGTTGCACTCAACATCTTTTTAATCCCTTTCCTCCTAAATTTAGTCTTTTTTTTATATTAGGGCCAAAAAAAAAAAAAAAAGAGAAGACAATAGATAACTTCTCAGTTTCAAAACTCATTAGTTTCTTTCATTATGTGGATAAAATTATTATTGAAATACCTTTTATATATAATTGTAGCTACAACTGCTTCATCGCATTCTTGACACTGTGAATTATATCTTGGACTTTTATGACCCAAATATATCTTATACATCTAATAATCTGTAGCATGTCTTTTAACTTTTAAATAATAAAAATAACTGTTTCCTCCTGTGAGTCATTGCATGGACCAATCCCTGACTCACTCACTTCCCCTGAGGGATCATGTCATATCTAATAACTTGCTAATAAATACATTGTGGGTTCTAACTGCTAATAGCCTTTTACATCTGAGCTCTTACCTGTATCTTTTGGTGTAATTTACAGGCAGCAGTCACTTGTCACTAGCTTGCATAATAGCAGCGCCCTTAATGCTCCATGTGGGTTCCCACACGTAGATGCAATCTCTTCCCTAAACATCTTAGTGTGCCTTGCAATTACAGTATAGATTTGAGTGCTCTCCCACGTACTGTTTTGCTTCATGATGATTAATCCTCTCTCATTCTTTCTATGTCACTTTATTATGAGTCACTTATTGGGCTCAGTGTCACTTCTGACATATGCCTTGGAAACTCAAGTTTTAAGTCCCTGAAAATTATTTCCTTTTTCCATTCTACATTTGTTGCACCATGCTGCTGTGCATGTGCAAAACTTGCTTGTAACCTTGAAAATTGGAAAGGAATTAATTCTGGTTGAATTCATAGCGTTTCTTCAGTTGAAAAAAGAGTTTGTCCTATAGTTTTTGACCTAAAGATCCCATTCTCTAATCGTTGCTTTTAATAGTAGAATGCTAGCAGATTGTTACAGTTGCATATACAGACTTTAGAAAGCACTGTCTGCAGCTTCTCCATGGAAAACTAATTCACTAGTGGTTTATCTGCTTAAAAAACAAACAACAACTAAGGAAAGATTTGGAAATTTTAAAACAAATAATTTGTTTTCTAGTTTGTGATACTAAAACACATTAGCACAAAGGAACCATTGAAATATTTTGCACTAACCACTTGAGGGCACATTTTGATGTAGTTTGAGGTATTGGAGTAGTATGGGGTCATGTCTCATCACTGTTTCTACTCCATTTTGAGGATTTAAAATTTAAAATAGATCCTTTTATCTGACTAATAGTGGAGAATATGGAGGGTAATAACCAAAGATTATAATTTGACTTATTAATATAATGTCCTTTATTGAAACTTCCACAGTGTTTTGTACAGGTCCACAAGAAAAGTTTCTACAAATGCCATACAGCTTAATGCCATAGGCAAGAGCTTTGTATCAGTAATTGCATTCCTAGACTTGTACTTATTGTAGACTTGTGCTTATTATCCTAGATTGTACTTTTCTAAAGGGCATATTTGTAATTCTTTCTTTCTAAGATTTATAACTATTACATTTGATGTATGGTGTGTAATACACAGCAGTTTTCATGTGAGAAGGTGTGCAGTAGTAGTCTAATAAATAGCAAATAAGCACTAACTGGCAGTATTTTGGCCTTTGTTGGATTTCTTCAACTCTTAACAGAGCCATTTCAAGCCTGGACTGGATTTTATACTTCTCGGAGCGTGTTAAAAGGAGTTGCAAGGAGAGCAAGTTCACTGCTTTATGCTGGAGAGTCCTTTTTCACACAGTATGTCCGCAAACACCCAGCAGGTTCCATCTGCAAACACGGAGCCCTAAAGCAGCTTCAGAGCCTTAGATGGGCAGTTTCAGAGGTAAAGACTGTTATTTATTTATTTATTTATTTAATTTTTAATAAAAATATTTATTGCGCAAAGGAAGCACTTCATTTATAGTGTCTCCATGTCACATGTATAGTTTTAGCAATAATTTTCCCTTGTAGCAAGTCTTACATTTAAAAAATAATAAAATTTGTCAAATAACTGTCCCGAAACAAGACTTCAGTCCCTTAGCCAACATTTGTTGTGTGGCTACTTCCAAATTTTAAAAATGTGTCCTTTTCTCAGTTATATTACTTAGTTAAAATGATTACAATAAAAGCCTGAATGAACGTAGAGTTCTGTGATAATCTCTACTTGTGCAAGTTGGGAGAGGAAAGATTTGTTCCATCAAAGTTAAGCAACTAAGCAATGGGCTTCATGCCATTAAGAATTTACAGACCTTGGTCCTTTTGCTGGTCATAAATATTTTGTCAGCTGGACAGAACTTTGTTGTTACTGGACAGAACTTTGTAGTAAATGAAAAGCCTATCTTGTTTTGGTATGGTAGTAAAAATCAAGAGATTTTTAAGTGGTTTTTTTTTCTTCTAATACATACCTTCAGAAATGTCTAAATACTAAAAAAGTAATAAAGTTTAGAGGGACATCTGTGTGTATCTTCCCTTTGACCATTTTCTTCTGTTTATAGCAATATGGAGAGGCAAAATACAAATCTGTGAGTATAGCTGTAATATCTTATTATTTCAAGTGAAATGTCTGAGGATTACTGGATTTGTTTGTTTTTTGTTTGCATTGCATTCTGACCTTTCAAACTGCTCTTAAATGTAAGGTCCAACACCATGATGGCATAACAGGCACAGAGTCCCCTAAAGTGACAAACATGTACATGGATAACTTGATGTATGGAATGTTCAATGTTAAGAAGCTAATGGCTTCCATAATCTTTGATATGAACAATGCTAAGAAGAGTGAAGAGGTCTATTATATTTACAATAAAGACTCAGGAAAACCAGGTACTTTTCACAACAGCTTTTCCAATTTCTTGCCTGTCTTAAGAAAGTTACCGTGTTTCCTTCAGAGAGTGTCAAGGTATTTACCACCTACATTTTGTCAGCCACCACTGCAAAATCATGTTTACATGAACTAATTAATGAACTCTCAGATCTCGAGCACCTGAAAACAGGACTTCTTAGCTGTTAGGCAGAATTCTGACCCAGTGTAAATGTCAAAGCTGTCTCCTAAGTTCAGACTTCAGCTGTATAAGAGAGAGAAGGAAGAGGTGGTATAATTACTAAACTAAGCCTACTATACAACATAATCCTATGCAGGAAGAATCATAGTCACAGCTAAGAAAAGTTCTTGCTATGATGTTCTGCCAGCGAGTATAAAAGTGTAGAATAGTTTTAAGGACGCTGTTCTAAAGACTGCATTGCTTTTTGTCTTGACTTTGGAAACTTTTTAAGCTGTCAAATATAAGCAGTGCCGTGGGCTGCACAACAGACTGATTTGGTTTTTTACAGGGCTGTTTTTAGATTAGGCTTCTCATTTGATCTTCTGTATAACTCTCATAAAGTTAATTCTGCATGACAGCGAGTTGTGGTAAGCTGCTTATTTTCACTAAATGCATTTACATTCAACTCAGGTGCCACTGGCTGAATACAGGGTCTTTTTTTATTGGGTAAATAATAGGAAAAAATACAGCAGAAGGGGTTTTCATGAAGTACTGTGAAATGCATTACTACTTTCAATCCTGAAGTTTTACTGCAGGTCTTCATGTTAAAATTTTGTAATGTAGCTGTACCTAGATAGACCTCTTAACTATTTTTCAGCATCACATTTTAAAACTCATAATTGTAGTGACTGATTGTTCTTGTTTGTTTATCTATGCAAAGGTACTACAGATGTTGACCATTATGTTATTGTCTATAATCCCCTGGCCTGGAACATCACTACAATTGTCACAATCCCTGTCAATATCTCATCAATGAGTGTTTATGATGAACTGGGGCATTCTGTACCAGCACAGGTACTTCAAAGTTGTTTCTTTCTGTTGCTTTTCTTTCATTTGCCAGTTTTCACTGACTTGATTCTACATGGTAATATAGTACATAGGGAGACCAAGACTTCAAGTTGGGATTTGCCTAGTTCTCCTTTAAGTGATTTGTTTGTTTGTTTTCCTCGCCCGTTCTCTCAATTAGAAATTTTTTTAGCTTAATGTGCAAAAGCCTTTCAACTCTTCTTGTGTGTTTGGTTTGTCCTTTGCATGTCTGCTGTGTGCCGCCTGGCAGATTTTTATCCTGGCTTTTATGTTGTCTTTTAAAAATAAAAAAATAAAAATAATCAAACACCATTGTTTCCAATAAAGCCTTATGGGCATAAACCCTGCCCTTCCCAGTTGATAGTCCTGACATATTGCCTTGGAGAGGAAGAGAGATTTTAGAAAAGTGGTATCTTAATTACAAGCCCGAAGGGAATGAGGGACAAGCAGCTTCCAAGGAAATCCAGCTCATTCTATGTTGTAGTCAAGCTCCATGACAAGACCAACTATTTCGCAGGAGGAAAGGTGATGACACTGCATGAAAGCTAGCACCAGCCTTTCACAGGATACACAGCTTTCACCCAGTGGCTTGAAAAACCTGTAGGAATGCTTCCTGCACAGAAGGGCCTGAAGAAGCTTGACATGCTTCATGATTCTCCCCTCTATCCCCAAGACGCCGTGTAACTCAGCAGCTTTTGCCTGGTGGACAGAGTTTCTCTTATTAATGTATCTGTGACTCATTACTGCCGCTGTGCATCAAGGCACGCTATAGTCTGCTAGTGATACACAGCAGCTATCTGGGGTTTTGGCATATGTACATGATGATGGCATGAGGTCTTACTGCCTTTATCAAGATGCCATTAGTCTCTTGGGTTAGTGCATGGTTGTGCTTACTTGTCAGCCACTTACCTCCCGAAAGTCATTTTCTCTGAATTATTTTAGGTTTGTAAGATGAAAGTGGGAGACTGAAGTGGTTTTAAAGCTTTTATTTCAGGATATAGAAAGCCCTCAGGTCAAGCTGTTGTTTTTTACTTAAAAGTTTTCTGTTCCAGAGTTGTTCTGTAGTCTTTTTTTGCTAGAAGTTACCCCTGTGTGCACATGGATAGTCACTTAAAGCAAAATGAAATCCATTTATAAATAATGTGCAGTTAGTTCAGGATCATTTCAGTGTACATTTATATTGCACATTGCATCTCCTCAAGAGAGAAATCTTTAGCTCAGAGCCTTGATCTAAGTACATGGTTGAGCGGAAGTGGGGCTTGGCAAAAACTCTGCTGCCTTTGGTACCATGTACAAGAGTTGCATAGTAAAGGGAGAAAATAGGATTAAGCCCTTTTGGTACCAACAGATAGGAGGTCTGCAATATAGTAAGTGAATGTGTGCCAGTCCAAAGTGTGAAGGTTTAGACAGCTTGCTTGAATTTCTGTGTAATGGTAATTAACTCTCTGACTGTGTAATCTGTGTAGTATTTATGCAATTCATTTTCTTTCCCCAAATAGGAAGTAATAATAAATTAAATTACATAACATTCATGGGAAGAATATATGTAATTGAATAATGATTTAAAAAAATTTAAGATATTTTGGTACTTAATAACACTGGTGTTCTCTTTACACAAAAAAATATGCCACACGATTTCACTTCTTCTCCTTTTCCCTTGCTTAAGGTGAGGGTATACGTGGTTGCTTCTTCCTCTTGCTACCTGTTTTCTCATATTCACACTAATTGCTTCCTTTATGTTTCAGCCTCTTCTGTCATTTAACTGATTCGTTTTAGGTATGATTATTTCTGCCATTCCCTTTTGCTATGTGATATTAAGTCAAGATCTTTAATGCTATGTTCACAACAAAATATGATACGATTTTGCAAAGTGCTTCGCAACCTTCTTCCCTTTGCTAGCATGACTAGGCTTACTCTGAGGTCACTAAACTCCGATTAAAAGCAGCATGGATCTACATTATAATTAAGAATCGTAAGACTAGCATGTATAGAAAAGTATTTTTATAGTATTAGTTAATTTTTGTAGTTTAGAGCTTATAACACATGAGTACAGTTTCCTTGCTAATTCATTTTCTGTAATGGAGCAATGTTGTATATGTTAACTTACAGATTCAAAGTTCAGCTGAGTCCCATTCTATCTATGATCTGTATATTCTAGTTGAAGTAAGTGGTTTGTCTTACAAAAAATACAATGTTAAGCCCTCAAATGATAAGCAGTCTGCATTTATTGGAAGATCAATGAAATACAAGCGAAAAGATGTGATGCATTCAGTTCAGCAAAGTCAAAAACTGCTTCCTGTGACCAGCAACTGCTATGAGATCGTGTTTGACCAAAACACTAATCTAATGCACAGCATTACAAACAGGTGAGATTGCTTGCTTTTTGTGTTCCAGATTCTATAAAAACCATTTTGTAAAAGTAAGTCCATGTACTACATTGTGTGCCTTAATACTGAGACCTAACTGAATTTTCTTCGTAATTATTTATTTTCCTCTGCCACTTGCATGTCAGTATTTTCTGTGGAATGGAGGACTCTATGTTGGATGTAATTTCGTACTATTTCTGTAAGGTTGTTTAACCATGCAACCAGTAATAAGAGAACATAACAGATCACAATATTAATAGATCAGAAGAATCTCGTTTCACTTTTGAGCTAAAGAGAGATATGAATGTGCAAAGATGTAAGCACGTATGCTATGGCTACGCTAAGAGCTTTAAAAGATAAAGTAAGGGCTTACTAGTTAATAGTATTTGGAAGTCATTCTTTCTAGGAAACTACAAAATGTTTTGAAGGTAAACATTTAGGCAAATGAATTAGACAAATTTGGTTAAGCAAATGAAATGAAAGAACAATCAAGATCAATGTGAGGTTTGCAGCTTGGCTTTCTTGGCTGATGTGAGTTGGCCCAATTCCTCGAGGTTTCAGTGAAGCTGTACTTTTTGCTTGATCAGGATTAGGATAGCATCTTAAATTATCTTCACTTGACTTTGCAGGGAGTGTGAAATGGGTTCCTAAATATCTCAGCCATAAGGAGGAGACAAAGTATGCTGAGCAAGTGTGAATTTTGTTACCCTGTTGGCACTATATCTTGTTATCATTGTTAAATATGGAAACCTTTTCCACAGTGGTTTTCTTAGCTACAACATCAGATAAATTAATTTGATTATTCATTATTAAGTTGAGGTGTTCCTCATTTTTGTGCAGCAGCTAGTTTTAGATCTTGTAGCAGCTCTCACTTGCACTTCAAAACATGACCTAAGTAAGTACTGTTCCTGTTTTAAGATGCTCCTATTTTACGGAGGTATAAAATGCGTGAAAATCCTTTTATTTATACACTGACAGATGTCTTAACAGGGTGTGCTTTAATTCTCTGTTGTCCTCATTTTGCAAGTCTTATCAAATGAGTTCCTCAGTTTGAGAAAACAGATTTTTTCTTATTTTCACCTCATTCCGACTTTGCTCCTGTTATGTACAAAACGTATTTGTAGGTAATACAGGGGTTTTTTTTCCCTCTCTGTTTCACAGGGAGACTAACCAGACTGTCCAGGTGACCCAGGAGTTCCTTGAGTACCATGTGAATGGAGATGTTACAAAAGGACCCATTTCAGACAACTACTTATTTGCCCCCAATGTTTCTGCTGTTCCAGTATCACAAGCGGTTGGATTGGAAGTGGTCTCTGGAAACTTGGTGACAGAGATACGGCAATACTTCTTCAGGTGCAGCTCCATTACAGCTTCACTTCACTTGAATGTGTAGTCATCTGTTGATGTATGTGAGTTGTTCTGTGCAGCTCCTCCTGCACACAGTGGAGTTCTTGTACTCTAAAGGTTTCGGGTGAGAACTGACATGAATCTGCTAAGTGTAATGCTTCCTTTTAGATAAGTCGTATCACTTGGGGAGGGAGGTGAAGATTGTTCAGAGTTACCTTAGTAGTCTGCTTTATAATGTAATTATATATAATAATTAATAATCCTTCTTATTTTTATAGCAATGTTACTGCTCAGTATTACACACATGCAGTCTTTACAAGGATGTATTCAGTACCAGAAGGCTACGATGGGAAGTTGCTTTGTCATAGGATAGAGCAAGAATACAGTATTGGACCTTTGGAAGTGAATCATGAGGCAGTTCTAAGAACAAGCACAAATTTGAACACTGGGCAGCTGCTCTACACTGATGATAATGGATTTCAGATTCAGAAGAGACCATTCAAGGCATATGTGAATAATACAGTAGCACGGGTAGGTGCCAAGGCATATTCAAAAGTAGATGATGTTTTATCTTCATTCTCCATCACTTTTATCTAGATTACTATTAATACAGCATTAATTACTATGTGTTTTCAGAACTATTATCCTATGGTCCAGACTGCCTACATTGAAGATGATACCACAAGGCTGGTGCTGCTTGCAGAAAGAGCTCATGGTGTCTCAAGTCAAGGGAATGGACAAGTGGAGGTAACAAATGTAGTTGTGTGTTGTGTTTTTTTTTTATTAGGAGAAGACAGCTTTGTGACTCTTTGTGTCTCTCTGTTGTGACTCTTCTTCTCAACACAGGTGATGCTTCACAGGAGACTATGGAACAATCTTCAGTGGGACCTAAATAACAATCTTACTTTGAATGACTCTTCAGTGGTTCGTCCTGTGTTTTGGCTTATTTTAGGGACTAAGTCTGCCACCAGTGTTTTGTATCAGACAAGTGGCTTAGCATTACAACACAGGCCAGTTGTAATGTTTGGAACATTTTCAGGTAACTCGTTCTATCTCCTGTGCTATCTTTAGCATCTGAATAGTTTATCTATTTTGCTTTTACTTACACTATTAAGTTTGTAAATGCAGACTTTAAGCCTCCTGGTGGTGAAGTTAGTATACAGTGAGTTTGAAGGCAGATTTAGAGACTGTTAATTACTTTGCATTAATTTCAGATATGGACGCTTTCCAAGTGTTTCCAAGAATGTTTCTCTTGTTATGTAATTATCTCTGCTTTTAGAGGAGAAAAATTGTAGAGCATGTAATGAGAACAAAATGTCCACACAGGGGATTATTGCAAAGTAGCTAGTGTACCATACATCAGCTTCCTGGATGCTGAGTCTTTAGTGACCTTTTTTGAGTCATTCTCTTAAAAATATTTGACTTATTAACTAAAACTAAAGCCTGGTAGTGGAATAGTAGCATCAGACTGCAGTGAAATCTGCTTTATTGGAAGCTTTAATACACTTCTCCAGCACATAAATTCCTCCTGCTTTGTATCTCAGAAGACCTCAGAGGAGAAAGCATAGCATCTGCTTTAGATCTGCCTTGGCAGAAAACGAAAAAATCTCTTTATGGTACTCCAGCCAGGCTTACGTGCGTGTGATGGATGTTTGATGTCCACTTTGTTTCCTTTTGCATGGAGGAGATAAACCAGAGCTGCCCGGGCAACTTCAGCAGAGATCAGCCCACAGTTTTTCTATAACTGTCCCACCTAATCTTCATCTCCAGACTCTGAGCATTCCGGGGTGGACATACAGCTCTGATCACGCAGAGCAGGTCCACACCATTCACATGGGTAGGTACTTTCAAAAGGGTGTCTGAAAGTTATGCTCCAAAAATCTGTCTTTCTATTTTTCTGTGTTCTGTAAATAGTGCGTTTATTTAAGTGTTAAATCTCTCTATCAAGACAATTAATTGTCTTGGCAGATAATGATTGCTCTACTCAAATAGTAAAATGTCTCCTGTGTGAGTTAGTGTCATGTCCTGTTAAGAGTGGAAACTGGGTACTTCTTGCTCTTAGCACTCTGGCTAATCTTCAAGAATGGAACATAAGTTCAAATAATGTAACTGTAAAGCACAAGAAATTAAAACCAAAATTAAAAAAAACAAACTGAACAACAAAAAAAAATTGGTTTTATTTTATAAGTCAGAAACCATTTCATGTTGTTTTTTCTTAAAGGTAAACAGAAGCAAGGTGATGCAGACTTCAGTCGCGTCCTGCTAAGAATTAGACACCTGTATGAAGTTGGAGAGGATCCTGTGCTGTCTCAGCCTGTGATGGTAAATCTGAAGGTAAACCTAATCCTTGTGGATAGAACACCGTTTAAGGTATTTTTGTTCCAAGGAGAACTGGTTCTGGAATGAAATGTCCCATGTGATAGACTCCACAAAAGGTGGATATGAAAATGCTACTGTAACTTTAGACTCAGAGGAATGCAGGTCTTATTTATATTCAGACGTACCACAAAAGCTATTACTTCAGATAAAGTTGTCATAGGCACAGTGTGCAGACATTATGACAATAACAAGGTGGAACAAATGTAGGGCTTTCTGTTTTCTTCTTAAAAGTTCAGTAAGAGTTTCAGTTCTTGAATGGCAAGATTAGTAGGCTTAGGACTCTGCTACAGTATAGAGGAAGCTCTTAGCACCTCTGCTGCTTAGTTCAGGTGAGTCTGTAGTTGTCTTTGTGTTGCAACTCGGAGAATCCTATGACAGATTTAAGTCTCTGTTGCTCTGCTTAGCAGGTCGGTGCTTTAGATGAAGTTCTACTCTGGTATGTGTATTAGATCAGTAGTTGTTAAGCTAGTCTCAATAAACTGTGACTCTCTACCCACAGTGTTTGCTGAAAGAACTGGGGGCAGTGAGGTTAGTGGAAGAGCGATCACTCACAGGCACCTGGGATGTAAACACTTTGAAGCGGTGGAAGTGGAAGACTGCACAAAACCGAAGCAAAGGTAGGTGGAACAAGGCAGTTGATGTCTTTATTCCTGTTGACTGTTGAAGCTCTATGAATTCTCTGATTAAAAATATTGCTGTATTTGCAAGATGAAAAATGTTTTGTTCATCTATATCACATACCTATTATCTAGCATAGTCTGCAAGCAAGTAGCAAAGATTCTCAGCAAGAACTAGGCTGCAGTATTTCTTTTGTGGTTTATTTCACCTGGAAGTGTTAAACTCAAAAAAGATTTCGGGTTTCTATCTTTGTCCAGATTCAAGTAGCTACTCTATGAAGTCACACTTCCTGAATTTTGTTATATGGTGATGAGTTGTGTTAATCTGAGCTTAACATTGTGCTCTAGAAAAACAGACAGCTGGAGTTAAAAATCCCCCACTGTAATCAGCTTAAAGGTCTGTGTGGATAGGATTCCAGTTAGGACTCTCACTCAAGTGCTGTAGGTGACCTAATTTTATTTCCCATTCCAGTTGCTTGGTCATTGTCCTTGCTCTCACAACCATATTATGTGTCTTGTAAAATGCTTGCAGATATCTTCAGCCTGGGCAAGCTGTGAGTTTCAAGCTCTGCTTGACCTGCAGCTAGGAACTTGCTTGTTTTTTACTCAGGATGATCTAAAATGCATGACTGGGAAATCACCCACATTTTCTGGTATGAGTCAGTATGTGAAAAGTAGATATATTGTTGTGTATTTTAATATTAAGAATGAGAGTGCACTGTAAGTCCCATGTAACCTATAGCTTTAAAAGAAGAGAACCTGCTCAAACACTAGCTTTTAAGGAATGGACAAATCGCATCTGCTGATACAGAATAATTTAATAATACAGAATAATAATTTAAATTTAAGTAAAGCTCCTTCTTGAATAAGTTACCAATGTTTCTGTGTCATGTCTTACAGGATTCTCCAATAGCACAGAGATCTCAGATGACTTTACTGTAACTGTTCACCCAAAGGAAATAAGGACTTTCTTTGTGTATTTTCAAGATCAATAAAGTCTGACTTTGTTTCAGGACTGAATATGTAATTGCTTTCCATTTTTGCTTGAAAACATAAATGATGGTCTTGAAAGATATTCTACTGCTGTCAATGAAAAGAATGTCATTTTGGAATAAACTGTAAATTTAATTAAACTGTTGACCTGTGTATACTTTTATTACTTAATTACTTATGATTCTTTTTTTTTTTTTTCTGAAATTTGTTCAATTTGAAAATACAAAAATGGCCTTCGTGTGACAGTGCAAGTGGTTTGAACAATTTCATGTTTGCTGTGGGTGGCTTTAAAGTGATTGCTTTTATGATGTTTCATTTGGGAATGCTGACAAAGGCGCATTAGCCCTCTAGTCTTGAATTGTCCTTCTTATTGTGGTAGTTTCAAGAGTCCTTTCACAGGGTTTTTATTGTTAGTGATGGCTTCTCAGTCACAGAATAATAATTTGCCCCAATCCATTCTGTTTCTATATGCCGATTGTGTCTCTAAGTTACTTTGTCTTTCAGGCATCAACCACAAATTTTCTGCTTTACTGTGAACTCAAGTTGAATGCGGTGTTGGTATTCCCGTGCAGTGAGTGCCTTAAAACTGTCCCTCTTAAGATTTGGAGTTGACTAGATTTGCTTCACACTATCCCATTAGTCTTCTGTTCTGTTCTAGTTATGAAGGACAGTGTTTGGAGAGAAACTGACAGTAAGTGCAAGTTCTAATTATGCAGTAAGTGCAGATCTGATTGAGCAGCAGCTAAAGGAAACAGACAGTAACCAGCTTTCCTGATAGCTGGTATGTTTTTGTGTTCAAAAGAAATGTTGCATTTTTCAATTTTTTCTTAGCTGAAACTCTAGAATCTCATTCTGTTCACATGCCCTTGATTTACTTATTTACTTATACTGTGAAAATGCATGTGGCTGAGATGACACTCAAGTTGATCACTTACTGCTGTGGTAATGGTGAATTGTGCTGTGTACAACAATGTACAGAACTGTATTTCTGGCCAGCAGAACTTGAAACACATGGGATTTAAAGGGAAATAGAGGTGGGTTTTAAATCAATAATTTCAGATCTAGATTTATCTAAAAATATATATTTTGCTGTGATAGTTGTTCTGGTGTAGTTAGGCTTTTCAGCAATAATTTCCCCCCAAGCAGAGATGCTGTTCCAGAACAAAGGAAACAGTGGAAAGGAATGATGTAAAATAACTGTGCTGAAAGAACTGCATTGGTGGTTGACTTCTCTTTGAAGACAGCCTGTACAGACTGACTGACTTCGTCACCTTAAAATGACTAGAAAGTGCTGCTTTTTAGTAGGTGGACAGCTGCTGGTACATTTTGTTATTTTTCACACTTGGCTATGAACACTTGGCATACACCAATCTGACCTGCCCTGCTGCAGTGGAAGCTGTTTTCCTGCAGCGCTAACCCCATAGGGAAAGCATATGGCACTGTAACCACGCTGCAGTAAAGGATGATGGCAGCTATTTTCATTTTATTTTGTGTGTGTTCAGAAAACAAGATGTGTTCAACTGAGTCACTTTGGTAATCTTTTTTCAACCTCTGTTTGGAGGTACCATGTATCATCATAGGCATACTGTGTAGGTTGCACAGTGGTATGATTTCACCCTGTGTTTTTGTGGTGGAACTGGTTGTGTTGTCTGATACACGTTAAAAACAGTAAGGCATGCTGGTAGATAATAAAATTGAACTGTATTCTTAGCAAAGCAAATACTGCCCAAGAAGTAGGCACCCAATATTGGGTCATACAGCTGTTAATTCTGGATGCTGCTCTCCCATGTGCCAGACTGATCTGATTCTTGCAGGTAAGTGAGAACAAATCCTATGAAAACCACCCTGCAGGAGACCATAAACAGGAAGACCTCCTTACCATCTGATGTATCTGTTGTTTGCGGTTTTTGGTGGTGATGATGTGGTTTGGTTTTTTTGTTTGTTTGTTTTGAACTTCAGTTTTTAACTTCTGGTTAAAAGGGACAAAGGGGATCAGGCATGGGATGACACCAGACACTGAAATACCTGGGTTTATTTCAGAATGGTTGGCCATTCGGGAATAATTTATCAAAGAAGACCCTTGTAGTCCACCAGAGACATCCAAGAAGGTGATCTATAATAGTGTGACGTTCCTGCTAGAAATGTCACTGCGTATTTTGTTATTTTCCTAATAAGTGTCAGCCCAACCAAACGGAAGCTTGCAGGCATTCCAATCTCTGTAGAGGGGCCATCACTTAGTTACCATCATTTTTTTCACATGAATTAAGATGGTGAGCGGAGATATTGCACTGCTACAATTATATGGCCCTATTCTTCCCGTTATCCCCTTCTACTTCAAATACTTGTGGTTACATCTGCAGTGCTGAAAAGTACATATTGGTCATTTCTATCACAATAGAAACATTCTTGTTTGTTTGGTTGGTTTTGAGTAAACATTCACTCACGACCCTTGTTTCACATTATGCCAACATCCAAACCTAAAGTAAAGCAAAAGAAAATAGTTCCTCTTTCATGCCAGCATTCACCTTGTTTGAGAAGGTGCTTTTGATGAATGCATTGATACCACTACTATGGTTGATTTATTTTCATTGTGCAATAATTATGTTGGTTTGTTGGTTTTTTTTAAGGGGAAATATTGCAGATCACTACTTTAATTACTAGAGCAGGTAGAAGTATGACTTGCACTCATATTTATTTGAAAATGAATTGTGGTAGGCACAGCTGGCCTATTTGTTGTGCTGCAACAGCTGTTTTTCTGCTCAGATGTAAGTTATCATACATTACTGGAAAACAAATTAGATGGGGTTTATTTCCATGCTAATAAATGTTTTGAGAAAAGTCCTGGAGGTAATATCAAACCAAGTTTTCAGCTTTTTGCTTGGGTCAAAGCTGGACAAAATTAGTAGTGTGGATGTATCACAGAAAGCAAGTAAAGCTCCACTGGCGGTAGTGAGACATGACCAGGTCTGTTACACGGAGCCGGGTGAGAGCCCAAGTGGCAGCATGCTTTGCACCTGGTGTTTGCTGGAGGCAAATGAGTCTTGCAGAGTCCAAATGTGGTGACGTTAATTGTAGACAAAGTGAGAGAACTGAAAAGAATCTCTCTGTTGCGGATGCATTTTGACCCACATAGTTGTTTTGTGTGATGCAAACTGGCTTGAGAAACACTCGTATTTTTTCCACCCACTCAGTAATACCACTGAATATGAATACCATGAGTTTGTGGGGTCATGCTGTGAACTGCTACAGTGAAGTAACGCAGGCTAAAAATAAACCTTTTTTCTAACCCTCTTTCTATGCCATTTCATTTCATCTCTGATAGTGGATGCTTTGGATTAGAACCAGAGCATCTTTCAGAGTGAATGCGAGCTGCCATCAGCACTATTGGAAAAGTTTCACCCAGCCTCTACATATGGAGCTGCCAGCTGCACACCTGAACATGAAGTGCACGAACACACGTATTTAAATGCAAAATAAGCTAATTTCTCCATTTGGTCTGTGCATACATATTTCATTTATTCTGCACCAAAAATAACACGAATTTCAGTACTAGTATAGCTAATAGAATATTTGTAAGTATTTCTCTCTTCCTTCAGTTCAAAGATATTTGTTATGCTCTCAGTAGCTCTAGCCAGCTGGGTACCATCAGAGATAAGGACAGTCTACAGCAGTCCTAGAATTTGCAGTCTTAGGAACTTATTTGTCTTTGCTCTTGTGTTGGGGTATATTTTGTGTTTAATCTGGCAATGCAAGTGACACCAGAATCAACCCTGATAAGGCAGATGCTGAGACAGACACACTGATGCATCATGGTTTTGTTGCTGACAGATGAGAACAGTGCTCTAGGCTCTAAATGTGGCTGTGTCTTCATTACAAATTGCAGCTCAGCTGTTCTGGACACATGCCTGGTGCTGCTGCCAACCAGATGTTGGCACTAGAATATTTTCTGGATAAGACAGGCTCACATCAAGACTTCTAAATTAACTACTCATGTTTGATTTTAAATTTCTTTTTTATTTTTAACTTCTGTCACTGCAATTTTTGATGTAATACAACTAAGCAGATTTGTGGAACAATTTTCTGTGGCCTGCTACTTTTGTATTTGAAAGATCTTCAGTCAAGGGAATAAGGCTGATGATGTGTTTTGCCTTCTCTGTCTCTACCAGGCAATCTAAGTGATTCTGGGCTGGAATCAAAAATCAGTGCAGTTGTCTGTGTTTCAGTTTTTTTTTTTTTAACAATTGAACAGAGATGAGTTTCGTCAAGACAGCCATTAACTCGATGACAAACCATAGCTCACTTCATACGACCCATGTTCATTATCTTCCTCAAGCAAATGTGTGATAAAGAAATGTAGGAGTAGTGCTTGGTATCAGTATAACCTATGTACGAGCATAACCTCTAGGCTTGGGCAAAATTACTCTGTTTGGATGGAAATGACTATTGACAGTCTCAGGAAGTGAGAAGTCTCATCTTCACAAAATGCTCCCAAATGTCAGATTGTGGAAGTGGTAAATTTTTAAGTGAGTGCTGCAACTGTTGGGAAGCAGCCCTTTGTGACTTACCAGAAGGGAGGCCTGTCTGCTCGTGAGGAAAGGCAACTGTGGAAGCTCTGAGAAGAAACACTGTGATTTCAAAAGGCATAACTGGGCTCTGAAGCAGAGACAACTACAACTTCAGTGTCAAAAAGAGCATAGAGAAACACTGGGCTATACTTGCATTTCATGTCATTGCCACCACATGAGGGAAGAGGAAGTTGGGCTGCAGCTCTGATGTGCTTTCATTTGTTGTTTAGTTCATCTTCAGCAAAGACACCCTGATGTGAGTGCTGTAATAACTGCGTGATGGTTGCTACTTCACTGGAACTCCTTTTAGCAATGTGTGTTGGCTGCTTAAGTAAGTACTGCTTATGGCTTTTCTTCCTTCATCATTAGTAACCTGTAGTTCTTGAGATTTTTATTTGTTTTAAATCCAGCCCAAAGTGTGTCAAACTCAGACTTGTGTGTACGTGAGACAAAAGTGAAGTGTGTTATTGTAATCCAGAAATCAAAATTAAAGCGTGTGGGGGATTGAAAGGCATTTTTACCAAGAGATTGTTGTGGGAAAACATGTAGAGGAACAAATTTTAGGCATTTAAAATATAATTTAAACATACTTTAAATGACAAAACAAGTGAGCAGAAGTGACATGAGCAATCAGTTCTTCGAACTGCTTCCAAGTTGTTGTTTGCTCACTGCATCAGTCCTTTCCCTTATTGTTCAGCTGTTTATTACCCTTACAATGTTCTCTGCTTTTAATGTAGGAAGATACTCTGTTTTAGTCTACATCTTAATGCAAACTTAGAGCTGTTTGCACAAATTGACTGCAATAAATACGCTGTGTTCTTACTTGGAAGTATCCTCAGCAGGGAGTGCAAAGCATTTGGCTTCTAGCTTAATGTTGTAATAATAAGGCTCGTGGTAGAATTTCAGGCTGGTTTTGTGAGCCTCTGCTGTTACTGTTTCTCCCATAAATATCCAGCAAAGGTCTGGGTAATTCAGAGAGCAGCTGCAAATGCTGGGCTCACTGAAATGGAAGAGCTGTTGAGTGCTGCATTGTGGGGAAAAAGTAGAGGTGCTGTTAGATATGATGGCTAAGAAGCTAAGGAAGGCAAAACATAATTTATGTAATTCTAATAAACTTAATCAGATGCCACAATAGGACCAGTTGAAGGCCAAGTCATCACATTCCTTATGTATTGGTGTAAAAAGAATCTGAGTTGCAGGGTAAGAATTGGAAGAAAATTACACTCCTTTTGTGTAGTTCCTTGCTTTAAAAGTTTACATGCTAGAAGAACAGTGGTGATAATTCTTCACACAGCAAATGAAATCCAAATTGTCAGCAATCTAGAGATAGATCTGTATAAGATTGGCATTTCTGTGATGAATGACCAAATCACTGACACTGAATAAAAACATGATCTGATGTCCAAACAGTGATTTTACTTTGGAAGAAAATAATTTGTACGCTGCTGTACTGCACTTCATGGAGACAGTCTAGCAGGTGGGCAATAAGTGGTGAAGTGATTGAAAGCAGGAAAGAGTGAAAAGTGTGATGTTCTCTGATATCTGAGTTAGCCTTAGCTTAAAGCCAAACGAAAACCTGATGAAAAAATTGTGGTGTGAGTGGAATATGTAATAAAATAAGAGGGTGAATGTCATGCTATAGATACAACTTTTTCAGCAATAACTTAAATGGAAATTTCAAACAAAATTACAGAACCCAAAACAAAAATGCTGAGATTTTTGTCACTAAGTAGAAGCAGGGCAGAAAAAACTCCTACATGGGGACAAAAATTTCCGGTGAGTATTTCTTTCTTTTTGACAAGTCTTTTTCATCATGGATGAATCATTCTGAATAACTCCTTTTGGTCATTCCTTACCTGGCAGATAAAAATAAAGTGTTTAATGTGCTTCAAACTCAACATCTCTTATTTTTAAAAAAGCCATGTATTTAAAATAAAAAATAAATACAAGTACAAAGAAAAACTTCACGTTACGCAGCAGTGATGGAGTGATACAGTACGTGGCTAAAAGTTTACTTCAGCCACAATGTGTCTATGTTCAAGAAGTGGATAGTAACTAGTCATAAAAATTAATGTCATCACGATTTTACAGTATTAGCATTATTTCAAATAGTATCACTGTAGATATTAGAAGTGTTAAATAATCTAATTGCCTCTTTCTCTTTAAATCTATATGTATTTCTCCCAGTAGCTACAGATCCCAGTAATATAATAGTCATCCAAACACCAATGGAAATACATCTATCTACTGGAGACTCCACTGAAATAGCTTGTATTTGGGAAAAGTCAATTAAGAGATATAGAATCAGCTGGTATCTTGTTAATAAAGAGAACGTCACCAGAACTGTATCATCAAATCTTGTCTACAACGTCACCGGTCAAATCAAGAATGTCCTACTGATTGAAGCTGCCAGTGCAAATGACACTGGGTTTTACTACTGTGAGATAATTATTGAAATACCTTTCTATAAAAAAGTATGTGGAAATGGAACAAAGCTGGTCGTTGAAGAGCGAGGTAAGAATGCAAAAGTATGTTTATGTTACTTAGCTTATCACTTCCTCCCTTTCCCACATCCCTCCTTCAACACTGCAGATCTCAGAATGAGCAAGATGAACACAGGAGGACCTGAACAACTCCTTACGACTATTACCTTAAGCTCCTTGCCTTAACAATCCCGGTGTAAAGTGTTTGCTTTTTCTCTGAGGGTTTTACTAAGAAGAATTAGTATTGTTAGGATCCAGAAAACCTGTGTAACAGCAGTGTGTTTCACAAAAGACCCAAACCCAATTCCTTCTTTAGAGGAATCTGTTAGGGTAGATGTGAGATAATGAATGTATCTTATTTGTTGTGGGAAATGGATGAAATAATCACGTGGTCACTGTTGAGTAACATGCATTTAATTTTATTGAGAACACATTAAAAAACAGAAGGAGATAAATATGAAAGATATAGGAGTATGGTGTCTACATTTATAAGAGTTTTTGTCCATGAACTTATGAAAAATTGATTTCTAGAGGCTATATTATCTTACTTTATTGTTCTCATGTGCTAATCTTTAGCAAGAACAAATTAAGGTCCCAGTTCTGAATTAAATATTGATAAGCATTAATACAATGTGTATTCAAACACAATTAAATTATTAGGCTGCAGGGATGAGATGTGCTTCACCTAACTCCAGAGAAAGAGTGTGTCATACCTAGAAAGCAATTTACCTCATTTCTGTTCCATAGCTGTCTGGAGATACCAGGCATCACTTCCTGAAAATGCCAATCTCTTTCTCTCTTTTTCTGCCTCTGAACTGTAAAGAAAAGACAAGGTGGCCAGTTCTGACTAGACCATAAAATGATCATACACCTGTTATATCAACTGCTTATGGCATGGAAACATCTGCTCATCCAGTCCAGTTTGGGGCACTGCTTTACACTTCTGACCAACTGGTAGTCCAAATGGAGGCATGAAGATGACAAAAGATTTAGAAAACACCAAAGAAGGTTTGAAATAAAGAGTGAATGAAATAGTGTTCTTCTAAGCAGGAGGGGGAAATATTCTCCTGAATTGAATTTAGTGATCTGCTCCATCTCTTGGTCAAGTAGCAGTAGCCTAGAAGTACAGGTTCAGATTCACTTGGAGGAAAAGCTTTCATTACTCTAGGAACAATGAGCTATAAGAGGGATTGATGTTAATATTCATCAGAGAGTATCCATCAGGAATGATGCAGTGTAGATGACCTTGCATATCAGTAGAATAGGTTGATTCACTCCTGAAGTTGCATTTCAGTTTGGTTTGTAATAATGTGCTTCAATTGTTTCTTTGAGTTGTGCATAACTTTTCTTTAAAAATGTAATTGCAGAAGCTCAGTCATTGGAGAAGAGAACGTCGGTAGTTTGGGTCATCGTTCCCGTCATTCCTTTCTTAGCTGCAATGGGAAGCTTATATTTTTGCTACAAAAAGAAACAGAAGTTGATGTTTTCTGGTGAGTGGCAATATTTCCATTAATGCATACTTTCTAAACTAAATATTTATTTTGAGCTGTATGAACAGATGAACTTGCGGCATCACAGGCATCACCAAGAGGACTTTCAGTGTACAACTTCTGCTCGCTTGCTCTTTACCTGCAATGGGCACCTCAAGCTGAGAAATTTGAGCAGAGGGTCCAGAAGGCACTGGCTATAGCTCAAATGAGCATCTTGCAGCCAAAAGAAGTTGAGCATCTAGAATTTAACTCTGCATTATTCTTGCTAGTGATATTTGGGTTGGGTGGAAGAAATCATGAGAGAAAATAGTGCATGGGAAGGGTGCAGAACAACTGTAGAAACAAGTCATCTGCAGGCGATGGGTGCAGGCCAGTGACGCAGAACCTAAGGCAGCCTGTTAAGTAACTATGCAACACGAGTATTATGGTGGCAATAGGAGGCCTACTCAGCTCGTGGGCTATCAGGGATGTAGGTGGAACGTCTATGATGTGAGATTCAATTCAACTCCCAGTTACAAAAAAAAAATTCTGTGGCAGTTAGGACAGGTGAGTCACTAAGCTCAGTGTGTTCTCTCAGCTCAGAAAGCCAGCTGTATCCTGTGATGCAACAATATTAGTTTGGTCAGCAGGTCAAGATCCTGCCCCTCTACTCTGCACTGGTGAGACCCCCCTTGGGGTATTGCATCCAGATGTGGAGTCCTCAGTACAGAAGAGACATGGACCTGTTGGAGCACGTCCAGAAGGCACTGCAAAGATGATCCAAGGGATGGAACACCTCTCCTACAAGGACAGGCTGAGAGAGCTGGGGCTGTTCAGCCTGCAGAAGAGAAGTCTCTGGGGAGACCTAAGGGTGGCATTTCAGTATCTAAAGGGGGGCTGTAAGAAAGAAGGAGATAGACTGTTTAGCAGCATCTGTTGTGACAGAACAAGGGGAAATGGTTTCAAACTAAAAGGGAGGAGATGTTCCCACATGTTGTCCAGAGAGGTGGTGGATGCCCCATCTTTGGAGACATTCAAGGTCAGGCTGGAAGGAGCTCTGAGCAGCCTGGTCGAGTTGTAGGTGTCTCTGTCCATTTTAGGGAAGTTGGACTAAATGATCTTTAAACAACTCAAACAAAGCTATGAATGTGTGATTCTGTTTTGATAACTGAAGGTGACACAGGAATGGAACTTGAGGTCTATGTGAGAACTGATAAGTAGTAGGTGTCTACTCAGAGGTAAGCTGATTGGTTATCTGGACTACTTTTTGTGGCACATGCTGTTGACAAGATCTCTATCACATAAGAAAAACTGAGAAATCAGAAGGAAGCTGATATCATCTGCCAGCAGAACGCCATACTATCATCTCTCACTGACTGGCCATACATGAGCTCTGCATGCTTTGTTTCGGCAGTTTTCTCTGGTAGAGTAAAAGTGTGGGCAACAAGAAAACAGTGACCATTTTTTCTATTAAGGTTCTGCCCAGCTTCCTGCACCACGAGAAGGGCATCAGGAGGAGCAGACACTTGAGGTGGAAGACATTTGTAGAAGAACTGAATCCACCAGAGAAGAAGCTGGATGGGTAAGTGGTTTACGAAAGAGCTTTCTCTTGCTGTGAGGAAAAGAATTTCAAAACAAGGCAGTGGAGAGTTTGTACTGAACTGAGAGTGTGCAATGGTAAACTGCAGTTCTAAGAATGGCATTTTACTGTATGTGAAGAAGTTCTGAAGCACAAAAATGAAAAATAAGTACTTTAAATGCCAGCACTCTGAATTAAGGAAAAAGACACAGAATAGTAGGAAAGTATTGGTTTCTCTTGTTAAGGTGGTTGTGTTTAATGACTCTGGAAAGAAAGGCTGCAAGAGGTGGAGAATCTCAATATAAATACTGTCTGAAAGAAGCGTAAAGGAAGTAAAAAATAGCAATAATTTTGTTCACATATATTCTTGGACTGGCTTCAGTGCAGAAGGCCATTACAGCTTGCAGTGTTTGCTGAGAGCAGGTAGATCTGAGCATCCTTTATTAAAGCAAAAACAAAACCTCCAGAGGGAAGTGCTAGATTTCTGTCTTTACACTACAGCATCCACCTTCTTACTATTTTACAGTCAGAATTTTATTTGCTTTGCCTCTGTGAGCTCAGACCTTTGTGCATGTTTCAGGAAGAACATTAATTTTCAGGTTTTGCTGAAGAACTGACTTGAAGTTCCCAAATCCTACCTGTGCTTAGGAAATGAATATACACTGGTTTCTGCATAGCCCAGAATAACATCTGAATGCCACTTCAGTTTTGTGGTTTACTGCAACAGAAAGCACCTACCCAGAAGGAACAATGTGGCAGATTATTTTTTTTAGAAATATCTGAGCTAAATGATTAAGGGAAAATGCTTTTGCATTTCAGAATTCTTAGAGCCTTATTTACACCTGAACCCGTATATCTTTGGTATCCTAAGTGGGTACCTTGATTCTGGTGCTTAGTTAGCTGAGAACTGAATCCCAACTTAGGGAGATTTTGTGTTCAATGTCAGTAATTTCCCTGTAGAAGTTTAACTCCACATTTCTGTGATGTGTCTGGTGCTTCTCCCTCTTTTCATTTGGGCTATGCTATATATTGTATCTTGGATATAAGGTTCATTTTAAGTAGACTTTAATGGGAAGAGTTTTGACTGAAATTTTCTTTGTTTTTTAAGGCTGTGTCTACACTTTATAACTCACTCGATTCTTTTTATGATGCACCAAACTAAAAGATGACAAATCCACTGTCACTACTGGACCCAGTGCAGCAGATGAGCCAATCCCACGAACTGGGGCAGCTGCAAAGTCTAGAACAAGGGTATGGTGAGGAGCTTCCATCCACTTTGACATTCAAAACTAAAGGATCATGTAATAACTATAATGTGGTTAACAAGTTATAGAACTGAAAACAGTATGTAATGTGCTGCTGAAGTACAGATTACACGCATTTCCTGCAAGAAGCGTGTCAGAAGAAAGGTTGGTTCAACACTATCTCCTGAATGTTTTGTCACTGACTTTATTGAAAGGAGTCTCTGAATTTTGAGAGCAATTTTAGAAAAACTGTCTTCAACTCAACTGTTTTGAGTTGGACCAAATGATCCTTGTGGACCTTTCCAACTCGGGATGTTCTATGATTCTAACTCTTATTCCATGTCCAGAGTGTGGAAATAATATAGGATGCATTATATTTTGAAAAATCTTCTGGACTAAACAACTTTATCCGAACAGTAAATGCATTTTTTTCAGGTAGCCCCTCTGTAAATCAGTCTTTCATGCTTTGAGAGCTGGGGCTGTTCAACCTGGATAAGAGAGGGCTTCGGGGAGACCTGAGAGCAGCCTTTCAGTCTTTAAAGGGGGCTGTAAGAGAGAAGGGGACAAATTCTTTAGCAGAGTCTGTTGTGACAGCACAAGGGAAAATGGTTTCAGACTAAAAGAGAGGAGATTGCCATTGGATATAAGGAAGAAGGTTTTTGGTGTGTTTTTTTTGTTTTTTTTGTTTTTTTTTTACCATGAGGGTGGTGAGAGACTGGCTCATGTTGCCCAGAGAGCTGGTGGATGCCCCGTCCTTGGAGACATTCAAGATCAGGCTGGCACCTGATCAAGTTATAGAAGTATCCCTGTTGAATGCAGGTGAGCTGGGCTAGATGGCCTTTAAGGCTGTCTTCCAACTCAAATGATTCTGTGAAATTGCAGCAGTTAAAGGAAAATGCCCGTCATGGTAATCACTGGGCCAAGCAGACAGTAGTACGTACAGGATGACGTCTGCTCTCTGGAAAGGTCATCTGTGCTGACGATGTCATAGCATGAGTGGTGTGCCAGGAGGTGTTGTGTTCCTATGGAAAGGGACAAGAAGTTGATTCACAGAGCTACGGAAAGTCTTTCAGAGAATGCAGTCTCCTATGTGAAAAGAAATACTGGTATAAATGAAGTTGTATGGAATATAATTAGGTGTATTTATTGCCTAGTGTCTGCTATGCTAGACACAGAGCAGCTTTCCAAAGCCCTTCCAGGCAATTGGCGCCATCTCAGCATGTGACTGCTGGCTGCTCAGCATCCTGTAGTGAACTCCTTGCTTTACAGCATGCCTCGTGCTCTGGCTCTGCTCATGCTGTGGTGGCTGCAGCTCATGGAGTGCCCTCCCAAAGTGCTGCAGTACATTGTGGATGTGTGTCCTGCAGGAGAGAAATTATTTCTTACTCTACAATTTATGTAGAGGATTTTCTTTTCCTTCTTTTGAATTTCAGTCACTTTAAAATCTTGGTCTTTTTCGTCCTGAAACTCATTATTCCAGATGCTTCCTCTGCTCTGTGGTGGAGCACTGCGCTGTGCCATATTCCTTTGAGGCTCACAGACATGACTGTCCTTGATTTCTGCAAACCCTGCAGCTTTTTTTCCCTACACCACAGAGTCAGAGGCAGTGACCTTCAGAACAGGTCAAGGAAGCTCTCAGTTATGTATCACAGATGTAACTGGGTGTGGTAAATGTTGTTCATTTTATGTGTTACTGGTTACTTCTATATACAAGCTCTGTGAAGAGATGTGTACAATATTCAGATGATAAGTAAAACCACTAAATAAAGATCGCCACCTGGCCACAGTTTAATAGTCTGTAAATCATATTTTCATTACAGCACCAGTAACAAATCGTTGATTAAATGTGGTTTCTAGTAGCAGAGCTCCACGCTACTGACAGCTGCTCATATTCTGAATGCTGACATCGTTGTGTCCAACATCTGGCACATGGGGAGACTGACCCCCACTTCATCATGTCTTGTTCTTGTCTGACACAGCTGTGAGCTGCAGCTGAGCTCCCCTCCCCGTTTCTATCCCACTGATGGCACTGGCTTGGAGTTGGTGCACTTCAGCCTGTTTCCTTTCACCTAGGACTGCAGACCTCAGCTTGCTCTCTTCCTTGCTCCATTGCACGAAGATCCTGTGGGGCTCAGCTCCATTCAGCTACCTGGCATTTGGGCAATTATTCTTGGCAGTTTGGCTGCTGGGTGCTTCAGTCTGGCTCAAACCTTACTGACTTGCTGTGGAATCTGTGGAAGAGGAGACTGGAGCTGCACCCCTGGTTCTGTAGCATCAGGCATCCCTGGCAGCAGACAGGAGGAGCCCCCAACCCACTGGCCAAATAGTCATGTTTCTGTGTGTGATGCTGTGACTCATATTTTTGTGCCTGATAATGGCGCTTTCTGAACAGCAGCGACATTAGCTTAGTTAAACTAAAACTCATCTGCAATCTGATTTTATCTGAAGTGGTTTCTCTGTACCGCTGACATCAAGAACTGCTGGTGTTCACAAAAACAACACCTACGGCCCAGGCTTTAACTGATTTCAGGCTGCCTGCATGCATTGGTTGAGAACGCTGTCAGTGTAGAAGCACAGCTCCATGAGGCAGGCAGCTGTGAGGCTGGATCCAGTCTGTGCAGAGGGCAGATCTATGCAGGCAGGAAGGACCGTGTTCGGATGGCAATACTTGACTAACTCGAGCACTGGCTGCAAGACAGAAGCTGAAATCAATGCTTGACCTGAGATAAGGTGTTTTTGCCTGCTCCTCTATTGAAGACTACCATCTTCAAATAGATCTTTTTAAGGAAAATACTGTTTTCTGAAGAACTACCTGAGGAGGAAGTGACGCATATGATGTGGGGCCCATGTTTCCACTCACCTAAGGGAGATGTGTTGCTTTTATTCTGCTTTCACGAACTGGGCCTTCCTACCTCAGTGCAGTTTTGTGTGCTGCATCGATTTCAGTCAGACTCCAAACCGATGCATATTGCCACATCCTTTATGAACAACTGCAGAAACAAGCCAGAATAAATATATGATGGTCAGGATTTATTTTTGCTATCGGACTTGTCTTGGGAAGGCTGCTTTGGTGGTGTTTTTATTTTTTTTAATGTCATCCTATATCACTCTTGTAGGAACAGGAAACTGCAAATCCAACTGGAAAATGAATATAGAGATCAAAAGAACATTCACCGATTTCTCTCAATATGAGAAAGGATGGATGATGATGTATGGGTTGCAGAGCTGTATGAAGGCAGATCTGCCCTCAGATAAATCATATGAGATCTTTGTGTCAGTGAAATGCCCTGTGCTCTGTTACCTGCTTATGATTGGCTTGTCCCAAACCTGAATACCTGCACTCCTGTACATCAGGATGGCAGCCTCTGGTTAGGGCTGTGAAAGCAAATCCTGAATGTAAGCAATAGATTTTGCTCCCTTGTTACTTACAGCTTTTAATTCTGGAAAGAGAGTGAAAGGTAAACATCACCAGTGAATGCAGCAGAAGAGGCCAGCTGGTAAAGTGACAGCCATCATGAAGACACCTCTGGTCTGATGGAGTCGGCTCAGAGTAACCCTACTTTCTCATGTTAGCAGCTCTACAATGTTAAGTTTAGTTTTTCCTTTTAAGTTTCTTTTTAAAATGCAAACTTTACATAAATAGTCTGGTCCTAAACTGGGCTGCTATCGAACAAGAAAGGAAATGGAAAAAGATGTTGTTTGGGTTCTGAGGGAGGAGGCTGATAGCCTCTAGGCAGAAAGACCAAGAGCTGTTTTCTCACCTTTCCTGTCCACAGTGCTGTGGCAGAGCTATGGGGCTGGTAAGCATCCTGTATTATTTCTGCTCTGAAACCACATGCATAATATTTTACAAGGTAACAAGTATGCTAAAAATGTTGGCATTCCACTTAGGTCATTTGCTGGGCCTCATGACCACTGCTTGAAATGATCACTTTGGGAGTTTTTTTGTTGTTCTTTCTGACCATAGCATAGGACTTTTCCCCATGCTGACCACAGCTCAGCAGGATGTGCCTGCAGAATTACATAAGCATGAAGGTAGTGCAAATGTCAACAGGACTGCCTGTGTGAGAGTGACTGAGATATCGTGGTTGTTGGAAATACAACAGTGAAAAACTTCTTCCTATCATTACAATAAAAAACAAAAGAGCCTTGGAAGCCTTAATATCATGAAACTTCAGCACAGAAGTATATAAATCCCATGCAGAGTAGCATGAAGGAAATGATTCAACCAGAGGCTGAAAACTAGACAGAAGTATTTACACTGTAAATATTGATATGCTTGACTTTACCTGTTTTTAAACTTTGTTTACATAGTATGTGAGCTTATTAATTGGGTGTGTGAAATCAATTTTAAGGGTATTTTGAGAAATAAATGATAAAATGATGACCTATGCAGATTTGAACCCTGAAAAATTGCCAAAAAACTCTCAGTGGCTGCAGCATTTAATCCCCAGATGTACGTATGTATGCTGTGGAAGTGAGATAACCTTTAAAACCATTACCCAGATGTAGAGCAAGTTTTCAGAATTGATGGAAAGGAAAACCTTGCTCTTTAGTAACTGAAGTGTGTTGTTGCTCTAAATTCAACAAAAAAAAATGGGATGCTGGAAAAGATGAGGTTTTTGATGATTGTGTCTCAGTGTGGAACATGCACTGCTTGTTTTTCTGTAAAAGGCAAATTGAAAAGGGGATATTATAAGTACTAATTGAACAGGGAAGGGCTGTTTAGTACTGCTGCAAGAAAAACACTGAATTCACTTCAAATTGTGTTTTCTCCTTTGCTTCCTACATTCTGGTATTTAAATTGTGAGAACTGTCAGAATGCTGTTCTGCAAACCTTTTGGGATAAATGTTAGGGGATGAGAAGCTCTAAGAGAAGTTTAACCTTTCAGCTCTCCCAGCAGCGATGGTGACACAAATGGCTCGTTAGAGCTGATGAATGTATTTAGTCAGACTTTTCCAAAGCAGAAGCTGCTGCAAAGAGCACAGGGTAAAATTTATTTTCTGAGAGAAAATCAGCTCAAGGTCGCACAGATCACATTTAAGCCTGAGTGCCTGGCCAAGTGCCACTGAACTGAAGTATCTGAATGGTTTCTGGAAACAGCATGACTCTGCACATCAGCATCATATTAACAAATTACACTTCTGGCCCAAGTCAAGGCAGCAGGACCTAATTTTGTATAAATTCTCTGTAATGCCTCATCTAAGCTGTTGTCTACAACATTCCTTCAAGAAAGAAACTTGAAGGAAGCAATTGGTGGCTATTGGTTGTATGGAGACTGATGTAAAATGTAACCCAGTGCCAACTGCCAGCTCGTCTCCCTGAGTGCTGCATAGGTGGTTTGGTATCAAAGCATTTCTTGCTCTCCTGTATGGCCTCCTATTTGTACTCTGCTTTGTTTTGCGAACAGTTGGGGATGGTCTATTCTGTGCCTTGTGCACCAAGCTGCTATTTTTAATGGAAAGCATATCAGAAGAAAATATTTAAGCAATACAAAGCATGTGAATTGAAAATCTGAGTAGTTCTGGTGTGTGTGCATGCACGTGAATGTAAATATGTAGCATTAAAAATAAATAAATAAATAGAAAGCAGACATTGCCACCATGGTGACCTTTCCATTTCTAGAAATTCAAGTCCTCTGGTCTATTTTGTGTTTTAGCATTTTTGAGACACCTTCTGAAAACCTCACGTCAACTTTTTTGCACAGAAAAGTGGTCAGGGATGAGGCTGCCTTTTCTACTGAGTTCCATGGCAAAGGTGTGGCTGCAATGATGCATCCTGTTGACTGAAGCTAATGATGTCCTCCCTCTGTCTTTTGGGGGAACTTTTTTCTCTTCCTCTATGGTCACTAATATAGATGAACATGATCCGAAGTCTGGAGAATGTGTGAAGTAGATACTTCATTTTGTTCAGGTTTCCTCTAGTGGGAGGAACTGGTTTCTCTTTAATAGCCATGTTTTATGTTCATGCTATAGTCATGTACCAGAAAAAAACAACAACACTGTTGAAACTTTTTAAAGTGCATCTCTTGAATAAAGCTGATATAAACGTAGAACTGATTCTCATATTGAGGGCCATTCCTCATTTACTGAATTAATCACTCAAGTCATCAAGAAAAAACTTTTGAAATGGATTGGTTTTTGTCCTGAGGATTCATCAACTTCTTCCTAGGTTTACAATCTTGTATAACGTCACAGCTTCTGGGAAGGTAGCTATGTTGCCAACAAATGAAGATCTTGACTGAAGATGGGAAATCTATATATTTCTACATTTATTTTCCTTTATTTATGTACTCAGTGTGTACATCAAAATGATGCATAAACATGCATAATGGATGAACTAAGAGTGTTTAGCAATTATCTTTAACAGTAAAAGAAAGACATGAAAAAGTATTTTACATTATAGGTTTGTATGTAAGCGTGTGCTACTATTCAACAAGACCAACTGGAGAGTTGGGCAGGGAGGAATCTGATGAGAGTGAACAAGAGCAAGTGTAGAGTCTTGCACCTGGGGAGGAATAACCGCATGCATCAGTACAGGTTAAGGGATGACCTGTGGGAGAGGAGCTCTAGACAAGGATCTGAGAGTCCTGGTGGACAGCAGGTTGGCAGTGAACCAGCAGTGTGCCCGTGTGGCCAAGAAAGCCAATGGGATCCTGGGGTACATTAAAAGAGTATGGCCAGCATGTCGAGGAAGTTGATCCTCCCCCTCTACTCTGCCCTGGTGAGGCCACATTTACACTGCTGTGTCCAGTTCTGGGCTCGCCAGTTCAAAAAGGACAGGGGTCTCCTGGAAGGAGTCTAGCAGAGGGCCACAAAGATGGTTAAGGACCTGCAGCTTCTCCTGTATGGGGAAAGGCTGAGTAACCTGGACCTGTTCAGCCTGGGGAAAAGACAATTGAGGGAGGACCTGATTAATGTTTATAAATATCTAAAGGGAGTTGGGAGACAAATACATGAGGCCAGGCTCTTCTCAGTGGTGTGTAGCAACAGGACAAGAAGCAGTGGCCTAAAACTTGAGCATAGGAAGTTCCATAGAAACCTGTGGAAGTACTTCTTTACGTAATGGTGATGGAGCACTGGAACAGGCTGACCAGAGAGATTGCAGAGTCTCCTTCTATGGACATATTCAAGACCCTTCTGAACACCAACCTATGCAACCTACTGTAGGGTTCCTGCTTTAGCAGGGAGTTGGACTTGATGATCTCTTGAGGTCCCTTCCAACCCCTGCAATACTGTGATTCTGTGAATATTTAAATAGTTATGTAATTTATCCAGGTATTCAAAATTCTTAACACATTATACCAAAAGCTTTAATTACCTGGGAGATAAAACACTTTCCCTTTTCAATTGTTTTTATTTGCTTCTCTTTGCAAAAAAATCAGAAGATGTTTTTAAAGTCTTATTCTTTCCACACAGGAGTTATGTTTTCCTGCCAATAATTATTCTCCTTAAATGCAAAAGTCTAGAATTAAGTGTTCCAAATGTGGCTGCCACTTTTTTATCCTGTATAATTTAATTTTTTAACAACTAAAAAAATCAGGGCACTGCAGACAGGGTACTTAATATGATTTAGTCTCCGTGTATGCTGTATGAAATCACTGTATGAAATCCACACCTGCTGGATTTATGACTCACAAATTAAATGCAGATGCAATATTCAGAGTAAGAATCTGGATGACTATGGGTGAGTAGAAGAAAATATGTCTGAAAATATTTTAGATCAGTAGTTGTGACCCATAAGAATTATAGTAAGTATCCTATTCCTTGTCATGGGCCTGTATGTGAGTTACGATACATCCACATTAAGAAAAACAAAGAAAAAAAAAACCCCTAACCCATCATTATAATGAGTATGGAAATCTCAATAAAAATTGTAATTTGACTTTTGGTCTACAAAAATCTGCGGAGCCATTCCTCCAGAGGACTACAAAATGCAGTGATCCCCAAAGGCAATTCCTGAGAATGTTCCCTGGCCAGGCACTACCACCTCTATTTGCTTGTAGCTGCTCTTCCTGGCTCTGGTTATTTCCTGAAATCACTGGAAACAGAACATTATTTTCCAAGAAGCTTATTAGCTAATTATGCTGCTATGTTCTAGTCTCCATCTCCATTTCCATTTTTACCTATTCTAGGAAAAAAAGTATATATATATATATACATATATATACACATATATATACATGAAAAAAATTTATGCCAGTACTCTAAATAAACGCTTTTGTTTTAAATCACAGAATCACAGAATCACAGAATGACCTGGGTTGGAGGGGACCTCAAGGATCATGTAGTTCC